AAGCAGTGGTATCAACGCAGAGTACTGGGCAAATCTTTTGATATACGATTGTCTCCAATATCTTGTTTTCAACAATCTTGAATTTGCATGCCGACGCCTCTTCGCATGGGTGTAACGCAACAAGCATTACACATAGGAGACTGCCATGGGCACCGTTCGATAGTACTGTTTCACTAGATTATTGTGCGCTAAACATCAGCCGAAGACTCCCTTTCAAAAGATATAGAAGAGCTGATAAACTCTGGAAAAATAAAGCTGTTCCAAGTTTTACTAGCCGTAACTTTCTTTAGAATGAACATTTTCGAAATCAGAAAGCAGATTTGTGTTCATCTTGTCAAGTCGAATCTTACTGTATACAGCATGTTCTTGAAGTTCCGTTGTCAATTTTTTCAAAATTTTCTGCGCGCGTATATTCACAAGGTCGCAACGCAGCGCAGAAAATTTTGAAAAAATTGAAAACGGAACTTCAAGAACATGCTGTATACAGTAAGATTCGACTTGACAAGATGATCAACGCAGAGTACTAAATGTTCATTCTAAAGAAAGTTACGGCTAGTAAAACTTGGAACAGCTTAATTTTTCCAGAGTTTAACAGCTCTTCTATCTCTTTTGAAAGGGAGTCTTCGGCTGCTGTTTAGCGCACGATAATCTAGTGAAACAGTACTATCGAACGGTGCCCATGGCAGTCTCCTATGTGTAATGCTTGTTGCGTTACACCCATGCGAAGAGGCGTCGGCATGCAAATTCAAGATTATTGAAAACAAGATATTGGAGACAATCGTATATCAAAAGATTTGCCTTGACGAGCTGAATACAACGTTGTTTTCGGATTTTGAATATACTCATTCGGAAAAAGTTATGGCCCTGCGTAATTTGCGTGATTCACATGAATTTCGCGGAATTCTCGGAAATTTTGCATGTTCTGTGAGTGGTTTTGTACTATAAGAGATAGAGTGATAAAAACTCAAACAGCGTTTTCTAAAGTACATTTCTTAATGTATATCAAAAATGATCCAATTTTGCGTCGTCAGTGATAAATGATAAAATGATGATATCAATGACAACGACAGATAAGAATGGCTTAAATTCATGCGGTCGATTCACGTTCATCTTCCATATAGGTACAGAATTTCAGCCCAGGCGTGAAGCGAGTTGAAGCAAAAATGCCATTCTAGGTAAGAATTGGCAGCAATGGCATGTGCCGATGAAAAATCGATCGATTGCTGCAGCGAGGGATCTACCAATTGCACCGAGCGATAGAACTAGAAAAGCCTGTAGATCACTTATAATGAGAGAAAGAGCGATAGAAATTCACACAGCTTTTCCTACAGTACTTTCCTTACCATATGCAAAAAATGATCCAAAAATGTGTTATTATCAGTGATAAATGATAAAATGCTTATATCAGCGATAAGGGTAGATAAAAACTGCCCAATTTTTCGCGATAGTTTTCGATAACGAGAGCTTCGTACCAGAACCTCCTATACGCGATTTACACTGTGATAAATGTTCACAAAAGCCTTAACGTAGAAAACAACAAGTTATCATTGTATGTCTACCCCATCACTATGAACTACGGACATACCGTATATCAAAAGATTCGTCTCATCAAGCTGAAGCCAAATTTTCACTCAGATTACAAATAAAGTATTTTAAAAGAAGTTATAGCTAAATCCCGCTTATCCCGCAAATCCCGCGAATCCCGCAAATCCCGCGAAGTCGCGAATCCCGCGAATTCCGCGAATCCCGACAATCCCGCGAATCCCGACAATCCCGCAGTTTTGGACAAATTCCACCGCTGCAACTGTACATTTCAACGTTTTGGTTTCTTGAAGCGGAATCCTTTTCTGAAAAATCTTAGAATCCCTCAGGCAGAAATCAGATATACAAAATTCAGTGTGGTGTTATGGCGAAAGTGAATGTTTGCTTTGCTTTTATCTGTTGGAAAATTCCAGAATGGTCATGTTGTCCGCCTGGAGTGGACTCGCGTCGGTTATCCGTCGCTGCCACCGACGGCGAACTACACCGTCTACGACGGCACGACCATCCTTTACATAAAAGGAGTCACAGAAGAGGACGAAGGCCAGTACAGATGCATGGCCACCACAATCAACTCGATTGCAACCGACGATGCGACATTAACAATCGGTGTACCTGCTGGCAGTCAGTCTTTTTTGTTTACTAACCCATTTGAGTTTGCTTCGCTTCAAAGCCTTAACAGATAGCTATTCCCTGCTTTCATAACAAAATGTGAAGAATGCATTGTGAGTTTTCGTTTCAACATTAGACTGGCAAAAGAGTATCGGCCTTAGATGTAGTGATCTCACCGGACCTTTACGGAGATTTTTGTTCTTTTCAGGAGTGGGAGTTGCAAAATGTAAATACACACCACCAAGGACTGAAAAGATTAAATGTCAGTAATTTTTGCACAGTTCATAACGCAGGCAACTCATCAGAGGAACCTTTTTGTTCTTTCAAGCGTTTCCAAAGCAGCGTTGTACCACGGCTTATTGCCTTTTTCGAAAACATGTCAAAGCAAAAAGCACGGCCACCGTAGTATGTCTAAAAAGCCCAAGTTGAATGCCGAATGTGCGATATGTTGTTAGAACAAGTAAATCAAAACGACTTATCAACAGTACATCTTAGAGATCAAATTGTTTAATATTGTTTCAAAAACACCTGGATATACAGTCGAATCATCTCATTTGATCATGAATGCATAACAAACACCGTCCATCTTTGGCGTCCTCATTCTGAATTTGCATTGCCAGAAACGCAGATACCGACCGATTTTGACTGCCTGCATCATTTTGAGGTGATTAGTACCTCTTGAAAAGGAAAAAACATAATGGACTCATAAAAAAGACTTATCAAGAGGGTTGTTTCCTCCAAAAATCCAGGATGGGAACGCCAAAGTTGGAAAGTGTGTGCAATGACACACTTATATAAAATGATTCGAATGTACGAACACAAAGTCTAGAATTTTGGGTACTGTTTTTTGACTACTTATCGAAATACAGAGGAAAAAATTTATTTTAATCTTTATAAAGATAAAGAAAAGTTTGACATTTGATCAAGAGAAAAATCAAGGAAAGACACTTGATGCACCAAGAACTTTTGGTTTTGACACTCTTGTTAAGCAAGCTTTGGAACCAATCAAGTCCTTTGATCTAGTCCAAATTATCGAAATGTGATAGCGCACAGAGTTTCCGAACCTAGGAATCTCAATGGGTCACTATTTTGCGAGCGAAAAATATAAGAATGTTTTCATATTTGGTCCATGTTTATCTATGTTAGGAAAATTGCTCGAAGCACTTGTTTTTATAGATCAGTGTCATTACCCCCTGTCTAGGACTAGAGCACTGGCATTTTCTATCTCCATTAAGGTGTAGAAAAAGTTTTGAGCACAATGTTGGCTCGTGCATGTTTTCACTTAATTCATGTGATGAGTTAGGAATAAACTTTGAGCGGAAAAAATCACCACACTCCTCTAGAAAAGGAGAAATGAGGACGAAAACAAGAACAAGACTACAATAGCGGTACAGGCTTAGGAACAGCTGTCTTCGACTTTCAATCCTGCAAATTTGCAAAATGAGAATGAAAAGTCTCAAAAAATTACGTGTTTAATGATTTTCCAAATCTGCATATTCTGAATCACAAGGCTGTAGGAGTTCTTGTGGCTCACATTATGAACTATGACGCCCATGATCTTCAGAGTTTTGATTTGTGCAATGAAAGAATTGGCTAGGTAAGAAAGCTTGCAATTTCAATGTTCAGGTGGAAGACCACCCCAACCGGTCATCGATCCTCCTCACCTAACAGTCAACGAAGGTGAACCGGCCGCATTCCGATGTTGGGTACCAGGAATTCCCGACTGTCAGGTCACTTGGCATAGGGTAAGTTTTAAAATTTTGAGCAAAATCTTTTGAGCATTCCAATAGAAGATATACATAAAACTAAACTTTCCTCGATATGAACAAGCTCATAATCTCTTTCAGGAACGCGTCGGTGGAGCTCTTCCACACGGGGTTTATCAAACTGGCAATGCGCTCAAGGTAAGTAATTGGGCGGGGCGGACCCCCACAAAGAATTATCAAAAAAATTTTGCAGATCCCTAAAGCTCAAATGCACGATGCTGGAAACTACCTGTGCACTGCTGTCAATGACTTTGGTATTGGACAGTCGCCAGTAGCCCGTTTGGACGTTGTGAGACGTAAGTGCAGTCAAAACTAACCGCAAGTAACCCAGCTCGCCATCCTCACCTACCCATAAAAGCAAATTGTTTTTTAGCTGTTCAACGTCCACGCGTTGATCCGATCGAGCAGACTGTGAACGAGGGCGAACCTGCTCGTTTCAGATGTTGGGTACCCGGAAATCAAAATGTTCAGCTGAAATGGCAGCGAGCTGGAAATCAGCCCTTACCGCCGTCTGTACAGGAACAACAAGGAATTCTTCACATTCCTCGTGCTTCACAACATGTAAGAGTACAATTTTTGCAGTTTCTTTGATTTGCGTAGCAATTTTTTTCCAGGAAGCTGGTCAGTATGTCTGCACGGCTACAGATCCTCGCGATAACAAACCTCAAACTTCCGATCCGGTCACACTTCATGTGCGCCGACCAGAGCGTAAGCATTTGAGTATTAGATCCCAGCACGATGGTTATGAGTCACGTTTAAATCGGTTTCTGAAAAAGAAAAGAGCAAATGACATTGAATTCGGAGCGCAGTCCCCAAAAAGATCGCATTTTTCTTCACAGGAAAGGAAAAAGTAATTTTGTTACGGAGCAGTCAGAGATACCAGGTGGGCAGCACAGCCCAGAAATCAATATGTCGATTAAGCGCTGCCAATCCAGGATTACGGTAGCTCGGTGCGTCACAGTGCAGCTCAAAAATCGACACATAAATAGTTCACACGGTTTAAGTTAGGTAGCTAGATGCATTGATGTACAAGGGATACTCTGAAAATTCGAATTAAAGGAACTAGTTTTTAGAATGCCTGTTTTCCAGAACATGCACACCCTACGAATTTCAACTAATTGCTGCAATCGCTTAGCTTTCCAGCACCCCAGTTGGCTCAACCTCAAATCGACCCCGCCGAGCAAACAGTTAACGAAGGCGACCCGGCACAATTCCGTTGTTGGGTCCCCGGACATCCCCAAGCTGTCCTGCGATGGACCAAGAAGGACGGACGACGTAAGCTCTTAGCCCCACTGTTGGTAGCATTATTCTTGTACTCATTACGATCTCAGCTCTTCCGGAGGGAGTCTTGGAGCGCGATGGTTTCCTTCGCATCAATAGCGCCAAGATGTCAGACGCAGGAGATTACATCTGCACTGCCACAGATCCACGAGGGGGACCACCAAAAGAGTCATCTCCGGCGAGGCTCAATGTTAGACCGCGTGAGTTCATAATTCACAGTTTTATTTGGATGAGATAAATATGATTTTTTTAGCAGCTTTGGCTCCTCAAGTTGATCCTCCTTCTCAGACTGTGGACGAAGGACAGCCGTCACAAATTCGTTGTTGGGTTCCGGGAAATCCTCGCGCACAGATAAGATGGATGAAGCATGTTAGTCCTTGATTATGAAGTTCTTGAGAAAAAAAATTTTTTCTTCATGCAGGGTCGTCAACCGCTACCATCACATGCACAAGAACGCGATGGAGTGATGTCTATACCTCAGACTAAGAAGTCTGACGAAGGACATTATGTGTGTACGGCGGTAGATCCACAAACAGGGGCCAGTACTGATGCCACGCCGGCTCATATTGCAGTTCGACGTGAGTTCGCATCGTTTAGACAGTATCTGGGCAAAATGGGCGTGGCGAGAGCGGGTGATTGACCAATCGCGGCCCAGTTTTTCTTCACTCGTCCTCGTCTGAGCGGCGACTACTTGTTTGCTGGCAGCTCGTACCACAGCCCTCTTCACTTTGAAAGGCCAGAAATCTTTTGCCGTTTTCAAAGCTCTGAATTCAGCTTTGAACTCAACAAAACTATAGGTTTCGAAAGTAGTGGAAAAATCCGACTTCAGAAGCTTCCCGCTGTACTTCCTAGAAATGCACAATCTTGTAAAAATTCCATTTTTCAGCGGCTGCAAAGCTCGAGCCACAAGTCGACCCCATTGAACAGTCCGTTCCACAAGGTTCCCCGTTCCGAATTCGCTGCTGGGTGCCAGGAAATCCACACGCGCATCTGACATGGAGGAAGGCCGACGGCGAAATAAATGATGACTCTGAACAGAACCAAGGCATCTTGACCGTCAACAGAGCTCAACCTTCCGATGAGGGTGAGTACATCTGCTCGGCTGAGGATCCACGCACTGGTGAAGAAGCCGAAACACCTCCGGCGACAGTTCATGTCACAACGCCTGTAAGGCCACCGGAAGTTATGACCTGTAAGTTTATTTCCTGCTAATGATATGAGAGGAATAAATTGATTCCTTTAGTCGAGCGAGGTCCAGAAATCTCACCGCCTATCCAAACAGTGACTGAAGGAGATCCCGCCACGATCCGATGCTGGGTCGATGGTCATCCGGATGCAGCTTTGTCATGGAAACGGCACGACGGCGCTGCGCTGCCATTCGGAGCTTCAGTCGAAGGTGGAACTCTGGCTATCAGTAGTACGCTGATGAGTGATGAGGGAGAGTACATTTGTACTTATACTCCACCCGTTGGTCCACCCAAGGAATCGGCACCCAGTAGGCTCAATGTCAAACCGCGTGAGTTATCGTCCTTTACCTTTTTTACCGTACCATTAGTTCTCGAAAAATCCTTAGCTGCTGATACGGGTGCTGCTGGTAAACCAGTACTTCTTCCATTTTCAGCTGGTGGTCCACCTCGTCCAGTCGCCACACCTCCCGTACTCACTGTGAAACATGGTGAACCAGCACGATTCCACTGTGACGCACAATCGCCAACTCCGGCGCAGATCAGCTGGGGTCACGGCGATGCCGACACGCCACTGCCAGAAGGTGTCGTGCACGAAGTTGACGACATCACCATCGAGGCGGCTGATGACTCGCACGAGGGCGAGTACGTCTGTTCGGCCACAAACGAATATGGTACCGGAGTCGCCGAACCCGTCAAGCTTGTCGTCTCTGATGGTCAGTGTTATTTGGGTTTTCAGTTTTTTAAATGTTTACTCGGTGGTCGAACTTTGTAGATCATTTCAGAGATAATAAGGAAAATTTTCTATTAAAATGGAGACTTTAGCTCAAATTGTGCTAATTCAACACGCTTTTCCCACTTTTCGAAGTCTATAACTCAAAATATTCCAGATTAGTAATGGTATCATTTGTAGCCCGACCTCAAGGGGTTTTTGTGCTCTGATAAGAGACTAAAATAGAAAAATGAATTTTTTCAGAAGAGCAACCACCCACAGCTCGAGTAGAGCCCCGAGTATGGAATGGCAAACCTGGTGACAGACACCAATTCAAGTGCATAGTCACTGGAGTACCCACTCCAACGGTACACACTAACATTTGCTATATGTTCATTGTTTACTAAATGAAAATTAGGTGCAATGGTCCGGACCCAATAACACTCCTTTACCTCATGACGTCACCGAACTAGACGGAAACATTTTGGACTTCTCCAATGGACGAACCGAGTTGAATGGAGACTATACCTGCACGGCTACCAACCCTGTTGGAGAGGTAACCCCCTTACGCGAATTTTCTTTTCTTTTTTCTCATTACTGCGTATTCGAAGGCATCCGATTATGGCTCAGTCAATATCGGACCATCACTCACCGTAAAAACCACACCAGCTGGTCCCAGATTGATCCTTACCGCAGGCGAACCTCTTCTTGTCAAATGCGAAGCATTTGGTGAACCAGAACCTGAGGTGAGACAATTTTTGCTGTTCCTTCCCTTCAATAATAAAATTTGCTCAGGTTGAATGGTTGCATGATCCTGGACCAGAACGAGGTGATCTTCCTGATGACTATAAACCCGTTACCATATCCGAGCAATTTATTCGACATCCTGCTATCGGTCTTGGAAATGCAGGAGCATACACATGCAAGGGATCTAATAGCCATGCTACTGCCACTAAGAACATTTATATTGAAGGTAAACAGCTAACCGGATTTGTTTGAATTCCAAAAACCAACATTTCAGTCGTGGAGCCATCCAGAGTCGCTACCGTATCCATTCTTGGAGGATCATCGCAATGGTTTGAACCAGGGCAACCGGCTCAGCTTATTTGCACAGCTACCGGAAGCTCTCTTGTCGACCACCTTGAATGGGTCAAGGTAAACTTTTGCCGATTTCTTAATCGTAGCTTTACCAGAAAGTTCGTCTTCAGGTTGAAGATCAACTACCTTCTGAAGTTGAGGCCGCCAATGAGCCTGGTCTACTTCACTTCTCCAACTTCAAGGTTAGTCTCGAGTCTTTGATGTATTGCTGCAAAAGCAAGATCATCACTGAAAAGGTCTGTAGCAATCACGAATATCGCCTTTGAGAAACCCTACGCCGGGGAGTATGAATGCCGAGGATATCGTAATGGTGAACTCATCGCCTCGAGCTCCGTCCAGGTTTACTCCACAACTGATGATGTCGAAGATGCGAAGGTAGGGAAGTTACTGGATAATGTACTACTTTATAGAACAGATGTTTATACTTGGATCCCGATAACTTCCACCGGATATACAAGCATTCCTCATCTGCTCTTGTTCAAAGCTTCACATTCATTGTTAAGAAGTTTGGCGCAGAGGTTCTACAAGCATCCATCACTTTAAACGTAGATGACCTAGTCTTCGGAACTATTGGGTTGTTCCGAAAGTAATACCCGTTTTTCCACCCTTTCCTTGAACTGCTAGTCCCTGGAGAAAAACTGGTATTCCGTGAGAGGCTACGTCACCTGAATGCTCTTTTTTCTAGTTTTCTATAGAAACCCTCTTTTCCGTTGGGCTCTCCAATCAACAGATCGAACCTTAAAAAGACAACAAAGCGAATGTGGAAATCTTTCTCTTTATTGTACCTCCATGACCTTCACAGAAAAAAGATGAAATTACTTCAAAAACATGTGCAGCAAATTACCAAGGACTTGGGCTACATAATGAAATAATCATTGCGATATGAAGTAAAATATAGTTGGACCTGGAGAATAGCACACACATGGCATGTCACTGTAGTCTTTAAAGTCGCATAAGAATCGTAAGCGCAAGGCGATTATGAAAGCTGCGCGCTATATAGAGTCTATTCCATATACAAAGTTGAAAAACCTCATTTCTCAGCAGCGACGAGTATGAAATTTTCAAACTGCTTTTTCTGCCTTTCCAGAGGGCGATTTGAGTAGATTTGAATTTGCAAATATTTCCAAAAGAATTCATTTGATCCCAAGGTTAGCATCGCTGCTCAGCTGACCATAGGTTACCCAATGAGCAGAGTTTGTGCTATCCTACTATAGTTCAGTTAGGTTATCATTTACCAAGGGAGCTTTCAAAGAATGTTCGGTATCTTGGGAGCTAATAATTTTTCTTGTGGTTTCTGCTGCAATTTTTGGGCTATATAAGTGCCAAGGGTTTCAAAAATTGTGACAGAATTGACCGCGCTCGCAATAATCAGTTCTGAAAGGAGTCATCTTGATCAAAGTTGAACTAACAGGTAAAATTCTGAAGTAACTCATAGTATCCGGTGAGACTTATCTTGATTCTTTTATCGAGTTCTGTAAGAGTGGTGCAATTTTATGAAACTGAGCTGACTCTTTGGTTCCAGCGGTAAATCTTCCAAATAAAATTTTATCAACTCTTGGAAAAAATCCCATTGGATATGAGTGTCCATTCGCTGAAAACCATCAAAAAACGATCTCGAAACGGTTTTGAATTACCTTTTCCAGGTCGAAATTGAACCACCACGGGTACGGGTTGTGTCGCAAGGAGAGTCCATCGTACTCAAGTGTTCCGTCGAAGGTGAGTACTTTTGAAACTGCATTTTCACTCTAACTATTTCTCGTCGTGTAGTGTGGATGCTAACCATCGTCGACCCGGTCAGTGCTTTAGATCCTAAAACACGTGTAATCTGGTGGCGTGCTGAAAATCTAACGGATGCACATATGGTCGGTTCGGGACTCTACCTACATCTAACAAACATCGATGTTTGTGATCGTGGAAGATACTATTGCACTGACGAATATACTAACTACGATTATGCACACGATGTTACACATCTGATCGTGCTGCAGGATTCACCATTCGGTTCTGTTTTACTGCACTTCATTGCAGCACAGAAATCGCACTCTCACATTTTGGTCTCTACTGGAGTATTAATGATGTTGTGCTTTTGTCGTGTGAAATGCGGATTTTGCAGTTATCATCGGTTCGTGCACATCACTCAACCCTACTCACAAAGTGTCAACCCTAACCGAATCATCCAACTCACCCTAACTGTTTGGCCATTTAGCCAACCCGAGTTTCTCAAGTTTCAGGTGCCAAAAACGGCGAAAACTTCGAATGGGCCTTGTTACGAGGCGGAAACATTGTCAGAAAACTCGGAAATGAGGCTACGCTCCATATAAAGAGCGCCGATCCGACAAACGACTTTGGAGTATACAGATGCAATGTAGAAGACGATGACGGAGTCGTCATTGGCAGCGCTTACACTGCTGTCAGCGTCGGATATGGCGGAACGACTAGTAGGCTTATAATTTCGTAGTGGTCCATGATCTGAGATCATAGACTACATCACCAATTAGCCATACGTGTTTCATGGAGAAAGCCTATCGCAAATGACAAAAATTAGATCTGGTGAAGTTGGAGAGATTCTCCAGGATATCGAGTTCCTGCTTCGTCTCTTCACCTAGGCAGAATGTAGGGTAGGATAAATAATTAGGCCACTCTTTCCGAGTTCCTTTTGGAATCCTTCAGTAAGAAATCAAATAAGTCAAGATTTCGTTTTGATGCCATTAAAAATGACTCAAGTCAACTCGAAATTATCTTGTGATTCAAATTCTTTGATTTCTGTCCAAAACTCCGAATTTTCGGAATCTTTCAGATGTCCTCAGCACTGCCTCAGCACTAGGCGAACCTTTACATATCTCCGCTGAACTCTAAATCTACATTTTGCGCAACTATACTCGCATAATGTTGTTATCTATCAGCTTAATTTCGAAATTTAGTTTAAACCCTTAAAAATACCTGCACTATATCCACCAAAGATCTCTAGGTTTGTGATTTATAAAAATTTTGTCATTTGGGATGTTTCAAGCGTCTACAGTTGACTGTGGTTACTACCTATTAGGTTATGGGGGTTTCGGCTGGCAAAAAGTTTAAAATTGAGTACAAAGTGTAAAATCATGTTCGCAGTTAGCCTATATTTTATAGAATATGATATACCTTTTAACCTAAACAGAAAGTTCTAGAATATAGGGTTTACAGTTTTAAAAAGACAGGCACGAAGTCTCCACTGCTTTTTCCGCATTCTGCACGGCAAAAGAATCTCAAAAGCAGTGGTACACGTAAATCAACTTGCCCTTTTTCAGACGCCCAAGTTGTTAAATTTGACGAGAAATCTGATGCATCGTTTACTTGCCCAGTCTACTCAGTTCCTGGATCAAAGGTGTTGCTTTGATAATGCGTGTTTTGACCGTGTCGTTGAAGCTTTTGATTAGGTGGAATGGTCGAGAATGGATGGCGAACTTCCTCAGAATGCTATTCCAAATGAGAACAAGCTTGAGTACGTTCCTTTTTGATAAAATCTTTTGAAACTCGGGTACACTTGGTGCAGAAACCTTTAAAAAAGCAATTACAGAATCAAAGATTTCAATGACGATGCGGCAGGAATGTACATGTGCCGGGTCACCTTTGATGATAACGTTGTCGACGGCTATGTTGACGCCCAGATATTTGGTTTGTTTTTTTCAAAAATTTATGTACAAACAGCATAGTGCTTATTTATAGTTCCCGACACAATTATCCAAGTTCTGCTCGATGTCTCTTCGGAATCGGTCAATGTTGGAGATCGCGCTTGGTTCGACTGCAAGGTTTGAAATTTCAAAGTTTCTTTTATAGTGAAGTTTTGGATGGTATGAGTTTATACGAACATGTAAAGGTGACCGGAGATCCATCAGCAGTCATTATGTGGTCAAAGGAGGACACTGACGAATTGCCAGAAAACTCGCAGGTAATTTTCGTCGTTGTAAAGATTATGCCTCTTTCCTCCAATATGTTGGCTAAAGCACGCGGGAAAGCATTTCTTTTACTACTTCAGTGAATGCGTGAAAAAGCACTACTGTAAGAGTACCCAAATATGAGCATCCATGTTCGACTATCCATAAATCTTGGCATAGTTTTAACCTTCTTGTTGGTTGTTTTTTAAGCGTAGTCCAAAATTGGTACAGATCTTTATAGCACAGAATGCAGACGAACGCTTCGGCGAACTCGCCTTCTTCACAGTACCAAACATAGTGTTACACCATGGCATACAGTGAAACTGAGTAAGAGTGGTAGTGCTGGTAGAGAGCGTAGGATGTCTTGATGATTTTACTCAAATAAGTCAAGTTCAAAAACTTTTGCTATTATAATTACTGACCTTTTAACCTCGGCATAACCTAGATGGAAAAAACAAGGGTTGCTTCCCATGCAGACAACTCCAAAAACACTTTAAACTTCATTGTTGCCCTTGAAGAACTTACACCTACAGTTTTGTTCGGGGAGACGGTCTAAAGAATGTGACCGTTTCCCCAAACAACAACGGTCAAGAGGTCACCAGTTTAACAACCCAGCTGAGAGCTAAGTTTTTTAAGAATACCAGACAAAGAGCTCTATTTTACTTATAAGGGAAGTTCACTTAGTCGAAGTGGCGATTCGGAAGGAGATCTATACCAGAGGATAGAGCTTAAAAAACTGATTTTAGATATACCTTCTATATCTGCGATGCGTTGTTCTGAAAAAAGTTATGAGCTTTTCTAAAGCCAAATTTTCGTACATTTTGAGTCGCAAAATCATGATAATCGCTACACAAAAGTGTGCAAGCTTAAGCAAAACACCTAATAAACATTGTAGGATCTAACTCGAGTTCATTCGAACGCTATCGAATGTTTTTGACCATGCTGTTCATCCACAGGTCGTCATTTCATTCCTAGATCACACTTCCACTATGTATACAAAAAAGCCGCATAACCTCCATCTAGAAAAACGCGTCACGTCGGAAACTTTTTGGAAACTACCAATGGATAGAACGTAGAACGATGTTTTCAAACATATCTTTAGTATCTGCGACGCGTTCTTCTAGGTGGAGGTTATGAGCTTTTTTGTATATATAATGGAAGTGTGATCTAGGAATGAAATGACGGCCTCTGAATAAACAACATGGTCGGAAAACACTCGAAAACGTTCGGATGAACTTGAATTAGACCTACAATGCTTACTAGGTGGTTTGCTTGAAGGCAGTGGCTCGGCAAATCTCAACCTAGTCAAATTTTCGCTTACTTGGGGTTATTCAAAACGCTGTCCGAAAATCCACTTTTGAGAGCTTGAAAACGCCAAAAACTAGCGTTTTTCAATGCCCTCCCCTTTCGAATTGGACGAGTGCAGCAAGGCTGATGACGGCGAATCGTTGCAGGACCCAATGATTATAGCATTGCGGCGGGCGCTTCCAATGGTGAGAAGGAAATTGCCAACTCGTCCGGATGCGTGTAAGAATGGCCTGCGCGTGTAAGTTTGAGAGCAATTTTCTCGGCAAGGAAGGCATGCTGTGCAACCGGGACTGAAGTGTTTTCATACTTGGGCAATAAGGAGTCTATCGCATCAAAATTTTGAGTTGTTGAGTTTTGCCGATCCACGCCTTTAAGCTTGCACACTTTTGTGTAGCGATTATCATGATTTTGCAACTCAAAAGCACGAAAATTTGGCTTTAGAAAAGCTCATAACTTTTTTCAGAAAAACGCATCGCAGATATAGAAGGTACTAGCTTGCTTACCCGGCTCCACCCGGCCCTGTGAAAACAATTGTAATAAGGTCTTATCCCTATCCCTGTACAGCCTTTCCCTGTGCCCACTTCTACACTTCATTTCCCTTTCCCTGTTTTGTTTTCGAAATCAGCATGCCCACTTACCCCTCCTGTGCCAACTCGCAGCCCTGTAGCTCAAACTTTGCAAAAAATCGATAAAATCGATAAAAGTAATGGACGATTTCAAAAACCAATATTGTATTCGTAATCAGCATGCTCGATTATCCCCCTGTGCAAACTCCCAGCCCCGTAGCTCAAACTTTGCAAAAAAAATCGATAAAATCGATAAAAGTAACCGATAATCCTGAAAACTGATATTGTATTCGAAATCAGCATGCCCACTTACCTCCCAGTGCCAACTCCCAGCCCCATAGGTGAACTCTGCAAAATAATCGATAAAAATCGATAAAATCGATATCGATCGATGACGAAAAGTAGCCTATGACACGCTCCCTGTCCCGATGTGTATGTGTGCCAAGTTTGGTCCGGATCGGTTCAGAAATGGAATTTTCTATTCGGAACATACGTACAGACAGACATACAGACATACAGACATACAGACAGACAGACAGACAAACAGACATTCAGCTTTATATATAGTTTATCTGTGATCAGCTTTTTAAGCTCTATCCACTGGTGTATCCCTCCGGATCGCCACTTCGACTAAGTGAACTTCCCTTGTTAGTGTTTGAAGCTACATTTGCTGAGTTTGACGGCGTTTGGTGGTAGGGTTGGAATAATCACGAAAACGCTATTAGTTGTGTCACATGGGTTTTTGACCCCAATACTCAGTTTCGAATCTATTTCAAAGTAATAAGATCGACAAAACGTGGGATGATCATATACATATCTTGTTGAAAAATTGAATTGTTCCTAGAACGTGATAAAAATTGGGTGGCACATAAGTTTTGCAACTTATTTCATAACTTTTCTCTTTTTTGTGATACATTAATTTTGGGCATAATGTAGATTAGGTAGTAGGCTACAAAAATACGCAAACAGTTTGATCTTTGCTTGCGCTATTTTTCAAAAGCTCAAGTAGGAAAATCAAAAATGAAGATGTTTCCAATCTTAATTAAACGCATCAAGCCGAAACTGTACCCCAGTTGATAGAGAAATCTCTAGCAAGCTATACGGTTTCGGCTTGATGCGTTTAATTAAGACTGGAAACATCTTCATTTTTGATTTTTTACCTTTTAAATTTCGAATTTCCAGCTTTCGAAAAATGCGTAAACTTCTTCACTTGACTACCAAAGACCAAACTGCTTGCGTATGCTTGTAGCCTACTACCTAATCCACATTATGCCCGAAAATGAATGCGTCACAGTCAGAAAGAGGAAAAGTTACGAAATAAATGGCAAAACACATGAACCAACCTAATACTAAGAATGCTCTAATTGGTGTCCATCTGGCAATAGAAATCGCGCTTCTTGACGCACACCGCTTCGTTCGTATCTTTAATCTACTTCATTGTTTCTTGCTCTTCCGCCGTGCTTTAAACGTTGTTTACAGGTCACTGGAGGCCGTCTATTGTTCAACTCAGTGACGCAGGATAATGCTGGTGTGTACAAATGCCGAGCGAAGACGAAGGCTGGACCACTGGAGACGCGCACAGTGCTGAACATCGGCAACGCAAAACGCAAGCGCAAGCACATTCGCGGTCGCCACGCCCGGCGGAGTCACCGGAGGCGCGCTGCGAATGCGCCAGCGGCGAAAAAGCCCGAGCAGCAAAAGTCGCTGACACATTCCATGTTCGGCTCTTGGTTCCAAACTTATTAGGCTGCTGCTGCCGCTCATTAACACTGCCAGTCCGCGCCGGTCGTTGGTGAGACGACGGCGGCGTCGGGCATCCACTGAAACTGCTGAACTCGCATGAATATCATTCACCGATAACCCCGTGTTCCTTGTTCTCTTTTGCCTATTTTTTTGTAGCTTTCGAGTAGAGAATGCTATTTGCCTCGCGGATTTCCTTGTCTCGGATTCGCTGCCCTTGGTGCTGTGCATATTTACTGTTTAGTATGTAACGATTTAACATAGAACGATTGTCTTTTTCTTTGAATAAATGTTTTGAAGATTGATGTGGTCTCATAGCATGTTTAGCGTATTTCAGCCCCAATGTTCCGATGTTGAAATCCGATTAAGTTCTATTTCCATCATTGTCATGATTTCTGCTGTGAAACTCCCACATGTAAGCGTTTGCAGTGTGACTTTGTTCGGTTCAGTACCCTGAAAAGTTAATTTGCCAGAAAAACGAGAGGTAGAAGTAACGGAAGAGAAAAAATTATTTATTTGAGTTTCTTCTTTGTTTTTCTTCAGGTCTAGGGCGACCTAGCTGCTCTGTTATAATCCAAGATGCAATGCTTCAATGCAGCTCTAACAAAAATTTACTGTAAATAAAACTTATGATTTTCTACCGGTTTTTAGTTCTACCCCTTTCATTGTGCTCTTTGTTGATATCAGATTGGCACATAAGTCTTGCTACTTTTTCTCATAACTTTCGTGTTTTGGAACGTGGCGCTTCCATTCTTTCTCAGTATTAGATTGTTACATAAGTCTTGTTACACTTCATCTTCTTACGACGATAAGTCGTGGACTTTATAAATTTAATAGGACTTCAGAGTACCATTCGATAGAGCAAAGCAACTCTACAAGATTATATGCAAAAATTCGCACCAGCTTCGACCCACCGTAAGTCTGCGTCCAAAATCAGAGTAGTACTGAAGGCTAAAAAAAATTGCTAAAAATTAATATTTTTGTTCAAAAAAACGTACGAATCTCTAACTTGCTCATAAGAGCACACTACATCAAACATTCATAATACCGTTGCTTATTTTTCACTCACCTAGAAATCGAGAAAACGAAAATTTTGTTGTTTTTACAAAAACGAAACTATGCTGTTTCTATTCATGTAGTATAGTCTTTAGAAGTATGACCGTAAATTTGCAGCTGCCAACAAGCCCTAGTTTTCGAGAAATATTGATTTTAGCACGGAACACCCGAGTGTGAGAGCAAAATTCGGTAATGTTCGAAAACTACGGCCTGTGGAAAACTGAAAATCTACGGTTATACTCCTAAGGACTTGTGGTAAACAATCACATGAGCGGAAACAGCATTGTTTTGTTTTGTAAAAAGAAGAAAATTTTCGTTTCGTCGATTCATAGATGAGGAAAATGCAGAACGGTACATATGAGTGTCTGATGTGGTGTGCAATTTGTGTGAACAAATTGGAAATCCGAAAGATTTTTTGAACAAAGATATGGATTTCCCCCGATTTCTTAAGCCTTCAGTACGACTCAAATTCCAAATGCAAACTTACGATATGTCAAAGCTAGTGTAAACTTTTGCATACCATATTGTAGAGCTTGCTTTGCTCTATCGAATGGTACCCTGAAGCCCTCTTAAGTTTATAAAGTGTACGACATATCGTCATAAGAATTTAAAATTAACAAGACCTATGTAACAACCTAATAGGGTGTCCCAAAAGTAAGTACACACTTTTCAATCGTTAATATCTCTCTTCCCCTTGTGTCTTTTTCTGCCGTTAAAGTATCATTTGTAGAGAAGGCTTCAGCTTAGACTTACAGTATCGAGCGAATTGTCGATCGCTCTTCATTACTGTACGATTACTGTAGGAACTTCGACAAGGATTTTAGGCCATAGGAAGCCACATTCTGCCTCGGAGCAAAACCAAACAAGCCAAAAACTCTTATGTTATGGTAACGGAAGCCGCTAATTTCGTATATGAGATTTTCATTTTACTGTGATGCTTCTTTCCTAAGTTACCCCAGGTAAACCTCAATAACCGACTTCCCAGTATTTGTCAGGAATATGATTACATCGTCAAAAAAGCTGAAAACACTCGTAAATATTATAGGCTTGCGCGAAAACTTAGTACACGATTTTTCAGATTTTTTGAAAAAAATTTTGTCAGATAGCTATCTCACATGGTTCCATATGCTGGAAGTTCTTACTGTAATCCTAGTACCGAAAAGGATCGGTGATTTGATCAATAGTGTGAATCTAAGTTGAGGCCTCCTCTACCGAATGGTACTTGACTGGCCAAAAAAGACCCATTGGGAAGAGAGATTTTGACAATTGAAAAGTGTGTACTCTTACTTTTGGGACACTCTGTATAATGATTATCATATGAGCAACGAATACAAGCAATTCTGGGGATTTCCATCACCACAATTGAGAGTTGATGTAAGGGCAATTTTTGAATAAGAAAGAGAAAAGAATGCCAAAGATTAAGATGAAACTTGATCGCATTCGACTTATTCGACTCCACGAGATCGCCAGATATCGACTTGACTTTGATTTACAATTCTTTTTCCGCTGGACTCAGTAGCCAACCTTCAAGAACATTACCCTAATCGGCTGAATTTGGCTAAATCATTTTCTTCATACGTTTACGTTTACGTTTTACGTTTTTGCTAAAAACCGTAAAACCACGATTTTGACCGCTTTTAGACGAATGCGTACATTTTTCCGTTTCATCGTAAAAATTCAGACCGTTTGCATATCTATAGCCTACTTTCTACAATGCCAAAGTTTGAATGCGCCTCATTCAAAGAGGAAGAAGTTATAGATAAGCTGCAAAACTTATTTACCAATCTAATATCATTACCAAATAAATCAAGTCAGAATGTGATTACCGGGTAGTATTTTACAATCTAACGAGAGAAATTTAACTCGAAACAAGCAAGTGACAGCGGGCGTGGCGATCTTTGGAAAAAACACCTTCTTTGTTAGTAAGTTGTGCCATTTAGAAATCATGGAAACCCTTCCTCTCATCAGATCGGTTGGCGAAGAGGTATTTCATATTTCATTGCGCAGTTAGCAATTAAACAACAATCCACATTTGAGGCCTTTTTATCTTGCTCATCTCCTGCAGAAGATGTTACGACCGCACGGTGGGAGAGATTAGACGGAGAAATGCCAACAGAAGCAACCACGAATCGTGGTGTTCTCAAGCTACCGTCGATATCAAGGGATGATGAGGGAAAGTTGGTGTCAATAATAATAATATCCACTTACTATGACCATTCTATTTCAATTTTTGGCAGATACCAATGCACAGTCACAAGAGACGGGCTTGATATGGAGACACTGGTAGAGCTCCAAGTGGACGGTAAGCCACATATTCTAAGCGTCTTTCAAAATGTTGCTATCTGCATGCTGATATCGGTTTTTTTGTGCACTTTTTAAATCATAAGGCAAAACTTATTTAAAAGCAGCGTCCAGGCAGATCTGGACCTATGGGGATTTTACGTGGAAAGTAATTTTGGGGCCCTAAGTAAGGCACGGCCTAAGAGGCAGCGCAAATGACTCATCAACGGCTGAGTTACACGCCATCGAACTGGACCCCAGGGTCATACTAACGGCCAATTTGCAACGTATTTGCATGATTTCGCGCGAGCACCTACGCGAAATTGTTGCGTCGCGCCATTAATCCATGCGAAATACGATCCTGGGGTCCAGTTTGGAGGCGAATCTCAGCCGTTAAACACAAGAGCTGCCGGTTGGGCAGTGTCTTAGTCAGGGTCCCAAAATTACTGTTCACGTGAGATCCTTATATGTCCAAATTTGCCTGGACGTTTCTTTATCAAAAACTATGCTAAAGCAGCTTTCTCTATGTTTTTGTGTCTTTCTGTGAAAGGCAGCAAAGGTGCTGCGATGATTCCAGTAATGTTAACATGTTTGTGGTAGAAAGAAACGGAAATCATAATGGTATGGATGAACTGCTGGACTTGACTGATTGTCTAGATATTTATCACTTCGACATCGATCTGTTTCCACCTGAGCAGCAGTTCAATTCAATCCTCTCTCATTTCACTATCCACGTTGATGGGCGGAGCTAACGTGGCGCTTCTACCTTCTGAAGCGGTTTTTTTGATTCGGAATTCATTCCTTGCTGTAACGGGCGTTGGCTTAGTCGGGGGCCCCTCCATTCAATGACATTAAATTCGCATTAAAATTTGGGTGGACGTTGCCGTTATGCACATGGCGAAACATAAGCTGCGAGAAAAAAGGTTGATTTTGAATCATCCTTTGATTCAAAGCCAAGTTCCCTTCTTTCCCTTTGTGGCTGTCACGAATTTTTTGAGGTTGTGCTAAACCTCAACATTTCTGTAATAGTGAAGTTTTGGCTAAAATTTTATATTAGGTTGGTGCAAGAGTTTTGTCATTTTTTTAATCCATCGGGAAACACGCTAGAATGAAGATAAGCTAACACGTTGAGATGTACCTATGTAGAATTTCTTCCTCTTTCCAGCTGCCAAACTCCCATCGTGTTTCGTTGCAGAGGTGACGAGATATTCGCTGGAATTTCGTTCGTACCATGTCCAACTTTCACTATTTTTCAAAATTTTTGTATGAGATGTTCGGAGGAGCCCTAATAACCACCAGATAGGGCAGACCTTTTGTCAACTTATGCAATTTTTTCTTTGTTTCAGCTGGTTTTTCAGATTTTTGCTAAATAATTTTCTAAAAGTCTTGTGTTTCGGGAAAATTGCGTAACACGTTATTGCACCAAACACTGCGAAATCTACAGAATACTGAGGTTTCAACACTCTCAACACTACCATTTCAAAGTAATTGAGCGGTTTTTGCTTCAAATCATGAAGATTATGAAACATAGGTTACGTCAGTGCGCACTCCTAAAATTGAGAAGTATTGCGATTTTCTCCACAAATTTCGTCTGTCTCGGCAAAAAAGTCAAGTATAAGAAGGAGAGAAAAAGTTGCATCGAATGGTGGCTGAAGTGTTTAACATTTTATGTTCTATCAGGTTAAAATAGGCTGAATGTAAAATTTGGTCACTTCAAAAAATAAATCGTAGAAATTCTGAAGACAAGCCGTAGGGCTACAAAAAATTGCTTCTGTTGGCAAAAGGTTTGCCCTATCTGCTGGTTATTAGAGCTCCTCCATAAGTCTTATACAAAATTTTTGAAAATTAGCGAAAGTTGGACATGGTAAAAACGAGTGGTTGTGTTTTTCAGCAAATATCTCGTCACCTCTGCAACGAAACACAATGGGAGTTTAGCAGCTGGAAGGAGGAAGAAATTCTGCATCGGATGCATTTTGAAGTGTTTGTTTATCTTCATTCTAGCGTGTTTGCCGATGGATTGGAAAAATAGAGAAAACTTTTGCACCGACCTAACATATGGTTTGTTAGCCTATACTTCGGAGTTTCCGCAGAAATCCCGATGTATGCTGACAAAGAGTAGTCCTCTGTTCGGAGTGCAAAGAAAGGTGCTAACTCACTTTTTAGATAAAATTAACCATGTTCAAAAACGACCATTTTACTCGAGTGCCCCAACATCTAACCTAAGAATTCGCTAAAACTTATCTAAGGAGGGTATCTGACATGCTAATTACGAAAATGGTCCTTGTTAGCTTAGTAGGGTTCTTTCTCAAACTTACGGTAGATAAACGGTAATTCGGAAAGCTCTTGTTTAGACGCATCTTGAGGGAGGAGGGGGGGGGGTTGTATCTGGCTATCATGTGCCATTTATGTTGCTCAACCCTGGTCGTAACCCGATCAAAAGCGGGCTTCACACGGAGGTGGGCGCACGATCGTGTATGAGTCCCAATCATAATCGGGTAAGTGAGCAAGGTGTGCTGAGCCACTCGATCTCGCCTAGCTATGAATTATGTGCAAATCCGAAATAGCGCTTTTAGATTAGGACTGGAAAATTGATAAGTCGAATACTCCACTCACTGAGCACGAATAAGACGACAATTGTTTTGTTAAAAAGTATCAATATTTGAGAATTGACTTTCATTTCATTTTAAGATCTGCAAGAGTTCCAGAATTAGATCTGAAAAGATCGGGCTTTGCTACCTGTCCAGATTAAGATCCCACCGCATAGCTTTCTTCAAAGCAAAGCTTCGCAGCTGAAGAGAGCACTTTCAAAAACAGCGTTTAGAACTAATTCTAAATTCGTATGTCTCCTTTCAATAACTAGACTAAGTCAGATGCATTCTCTTGTCAGTTTGGGAGATTGATACATACCGCCCGGAGTAGAAGAATCGCAATAGCACTGCTATTTTTAGATTTTGTGCCAGTGTTCCGAGGACAAGAAACCCTCACGCTTCCTCCCTTGAGTGATGAGAAGATGAAGCACTTCGACATGGTCCTTACACTCAACACAACGGGAGAAAGCGGTAGGGAATTTTTGGAAACAAATGTCACTTATCTTATGAGTATCAGATTTATTTCGTCAATCTCATTTTACTAGTGGCTTGCTATTTCGTGATAGCGTTGCAGGAGTGATTTTTGAAACTGTACGACGACCACCTATGGAAGGGGAGGATCCTAGAAGAATTCCTTCGCCTACGATAGAACATCGCGCACGGATCGATGATGGCTTAGTTGTCTATGAGTACGACATTGGCCATGGAAAAGGTTCGTGTACTTGTGCGACAACCAAAAACTTACATAATTTACTTTGCAAAGTGAAGAGTCTATTGCATCTACCAACAGCATTGTACCCAATAAGTGGAACACCATTATTCTGAAGAACGACGATAATAAAGGTATTAGATCAGGAGAAAGGTGTCGAATGGGATGAACGGATTGGTTTTAGCAGTACTACAGCTTAACTCCGGACCTGCTACGGAAAGGCCTCATGAGGAAATAATGTGGAACAAGGGAGTCAATGAGCCTCTAATTTTTGGCGCACATATAGATCCGAGAGATCGCGACACGGTCCAGCAAGGGTTTAAAGGTGAAAACTTCAAAAATCTTGAAATAGAATTAGAGGAGACAATTTTGATAAGTCCTTTTTCAGGTGTGATTAGCTCAGCAAACATATCAGGTGAAGAGATTCCTTTGGGCAAGGCTGTTCGTCCCGAGCACATGGAATCATACGATTCCTGCGCACATAAGAAGTGTTTGCATTCTTCTCGCTGCAGAAATAGCAACACCCCCAAAGTAAGTTATATAAGTCTGGCACATTGCTTTTGAAGATGCTGCTCTTATGCATAAGTAAAGAATTTTTTGCATTTGTCAGAAGCATTGCAAAGTTGATGAGAGTATAGAGAAGAGCAATACGTCATAAGAACTGCTATTAAAACATCAGAACAAAAAAAGGGAATGATTTTATGCCCTAAATCGCCTAATCTTCATCTTTTCCCTTAACTCTGCATGATTATATTGTTAAGGGATACGAATGCATTTGTCCATTGGAGTATACCGGCGAACATTGCCAGATTCGATCATCAAAGTGCAAAGGCGGTAAAGAGTTTTGAAACTGATATCAAATATAATTCATAACAAAACTTTAAAGAGGACTGCAATAGTGGAATATGCCTGGAACGAGATGACACATGGCAATGTGTTTGTCCTCTAGGCACCGGTGGTTTGAGGTAATTGGCGCCTTGATCATGTTTTTTACTCCATAAACATTATATACTGCTTCAGATGTGAGCTAGAAGAAAAATTTGCAGCTGATACTCTCGGATTCCAGCAGGATACCTCATTCGTATCCATGCCTCATCCCAAAAGTTTAGATCAACTTGAGGTAAGCAAAAGGTTTGTTTTATTTCGTAGCTAACTCGCTAATAGTTACAGATTTCCATGAACGTAAAGCCGCATGATATACAAAGGGAACACATGTTGCTATATATTGCTGATGATTACGATCCTGATTCTAGAAAGCACCTCAGCGTCTCAGTAGTTGATGGAGCAATTGTATATTCGTATAGCGATGGGGAAGGTGAAATTTTCCTCCATTCATGTTTTTCTGACTATTCTAGTTGAGTTATACAGACCAGCGCCACATCTCTCCCTCACAGAGGCGTGCACTTGTTACAAAAGAAAAGCGTATATTTTCGAAGTTCTAAAAAGGAAGTTCACCGCAAATGTCTAGTAAACTTTCAGCTCAATAGCATGCTTGATGTGCCGATATTGAGCAGCTGCCGAAAATGGATTACCAAGATGAACAAATTTAACAATAATAACAAATGAACAAATAGTCACGGTTCAGTAATAGTTCAATAACAACGAAACGAGGTAGAGGTTAGCAGGTGTACAAAATTTCTTGACTTTACCACTAAAAAATAAAAGTTTTAATTGTGTTGTATTCGCAGCTATCGTTTAGAAGTTTCAGAAGAACTGTTTGATTACAAAGCTTGCAAAAGATTAGGTTAGCACATAAGTTTTGCAACTTTTCCATAACTTCTCTGTTCTTGGATGTACCGCTCTCATTTTTTGATGTAGTGTAGATTAAATAGTGAGCTACAAATTTCCGTAAACCATTTTTTTCTGTTGCCAAGGTGGCGAAATTCTGCTTGTTTTCCGAAAACTGGTCAAATTAGAAATTTCACTATGCCCAAAACAAAAATGAAGCGTTCTTAGCCTACTCAGGCTTATCGAGAGGAGACGTATAAAGATAGTTGCTACAGTCAGACAATCTTGTACATTTTCGGCTGGATGTGTTTGATGCAGACTGAGAATGACTCGGGTTTTGTTTTTGACCCGGTAGGACTAATCTGACCAGCTTTCGGAAAATACGGAAAACTTTTCTGCTTCTCCATCAAAAGCAAAAAGATTTGCGCGGATCTGCAGCTTACGACCTAATATACATTATATCAAAAAATGAAAACATATATTCAAGAAGAGAAAAGTTATGGACTATGTTACAAAACATATGTGTCAACTTGATATTTACCAAAGTTTCATTGTAGAGAGAGAAGTGATAAAAAGCTCGCCGATAACCGCAGATACCCAGTATGCAGTGGTCCTGATTCGCAACGAGACAGCGACATTTTTGATTGTCAATGGAGAAGTGTTTACGGCAAAGGTAACGAGCTGTGAATCTTATATATAAAGCTGAATGTGTGTTTGTATGTATGTATGCATGTATGTATGTCTGTACGTATGTGCGGAATAGAAATTTTTATTTTTGAACCGATTTGAACCAAACTTGGCACACATATACTTCGGGGCAGGGAGCGTGTCATAGGCTACTTTTCGTCATCGATCGATATCGATTTTATCGTTTTTTATCGATTTTTGCAGAGTCCACCTACGGGGCTGGGAGTTGGCACAGGGGGTAAATGGGTATGGCGATTCCGAATACAATATTAGTTTTCAGAATCGTCGATTACTTTTATCGATTTTGTCGATTTTTTGCAAAGTTTGAGCTACAGGGCTGGGAGTTGGCACAGGGAGTAAGTGGGCATGTTGATTTCGAAAACAACACAGGGAAAGTGAAATTATGTGTAGAAGTGGGCACACGGAAAGGCTTTACAGGGATAGTGATGAAAACTTTATTTGACAGGGCCGAGCGGAGCCGGGTAAGGGAGCTAGTGTGTCAATATTTATTTCTTTTTCCAATGATTTTATCAATCTTACTCTTTTACGAATTCTGCTTTGACGCTGAAGTGATGGAATCTTATACTTTCAGAAAAAACTAAAGTCATTTGAACCGGGTACCGATCTATTCATCGGAGGGCTGCCGCCAGGAGTGGATGTGCCTGCTGATGTCCCAGCAAACTCATTCCAAGGATGTATAGATGTTGTACGTACATTACGATGTGATTAAGCTGAATCGCATGCAGTTAATTCAGATCAAAGTGGATGGCAAACAATTAGATTTTGAAAACCCTTCTAATTTTTCCTCTGGAGACGTTTCAAAGTGCCCAGTAGAGTTCGACGAACTCACCACTGCCGAACCTGTCAAAGTTGAAGAAGAGGGTTCGTTGTCTCTCATTCTAGCACAATTTACAGCTGCAAGGACATAAAGTTATAGCCCTCGCCGCTACCGAGGTCCCTACAACGGAGGAGTCATTATATGTGTACGATATAAAGAAGGATGATGACGAACCGGAACCTTTTCTGCCACTAGTCACGGAAATACTGGAAACCACAAGTAGAACTTTTTATACCTCCTGCAACGTTTGTCTGCCACACTGAAATCCAACTAAATACAAGAATCAACTCACTCAACTCAATAGTTGGGTTTCACATGTAATATTGCCATTGAACTCATTGTGAACGATAGACACTATGAATTTTTGCACTTTACCGTAACAGGATCCCAACTTTGCTCTGCATATTCGAAAACAAATTTCATGCTGACAGTTACTTAGAGGTGACTAGATTTCCAAAGTAGGGATGTTTACAGCACCAGCTGCCACTCGTCCATCGTTAGAGGCGACATCCACAATTTCTCCAGAAGTTAGTGATGAGGACGTACATGAGATTACTCCGACAGCAGTCGCAGTGGTGCTTTCAACAGATGAACCGTGTCGTGGTGAAGGTTCAGGTATGGTATTCAAAGAGTGCAACAGCAGAGAAGACAGTTTTTCTTTCAGAAGACTGCGTAGTGAACATGTGTTTCAATCATGAGTGCGGACCAAATGGTGAATGTATTCCGTACAATAGCACCTCCTATGAATGCAAATGCAATCTCTATTATGATGGACCCAGATGCGATCTCTGTAAGTTCAAATGATACAAGCAGGGCACCATATCTCTGTGGAGAATTTACGCTAAGACACTTTACATGCAGAACTTCAGTGCTAGGGCTCTCATGCAGTATGAGGCAGTGGCGGTCTCAGGATTTCCGTCCGGTGGAGGGGGCTCAGATAATCGCCAGGGGCAGGCGGCCATGCAACCTTTGAGCAAGCGGGTACCGGAAAAATAGTTCGCTGATTTCTTGCGGTCCGCTTGCAGGAATTTGAAATAATTTTAACCAATTTTAGATGAACGCTCGGAGAACTATCGCGGTCTTTATATGGATAAATTGCGGCCCAGCGGCCGCATTCTCGCGGACTTTCCGCGAAAATATGCAAAACTGTTGGGGGCCGCACTGCCCCGGGGTACTTTCCGCTGAAAGAATGTATCCCAAACTCGGGTAATTAAACTATCGATGACACCACTGCCACATAGAGTCTCACCTTTGCTCGTCGTACGCCCGAAACTGCGTAAAAAGAGTCCGGGCGCTTGCTGAAAGAAATTGTTTGACGAGCGCCTGCAGAAAATTCTGTGTTGCTGCCCGCTGGCAGAACATCAGACAGTAAAGCAAGTATCGCTCGCTGAAGATTTGGCCATGCCCCAAACTTCTGCTGACCGCTTGCAGAAAAACGCGAGTTTGCGGACCGCCTGCCCCCGACGATTATCTGAGATTGCATAGATATCTCATGCCGTCGAGGCGTACAGCAACTTCGCGCTCTCCCTTTGCTCCCTTGAACATTCCAGTGTTGCACGTCCCTATTCCAGCTCAAAAGTAGCCGGCTCGAAACCGCGTCCAACTTTTCAAGCGAACTTGACACGACTAACTGTAAGAAAAATATCTTGACAGCTTGAGCAAAGATAACATCCAAGGCAGGAGCGTATCCGAGAGGTGACGAACCCAAAAAAAAGGAAAAAGAAAATTCAAGAGCAACGAAAGAGAACGTAGCCAAACTAGAGCTCCGTCGCTATATAGCCTTTTTGGTTGGCTAGTTGCCGAAAGAGAAGAGAAATAGTGGGGCTACTGTAATTTTGAAAAATGCTCTCGGCATTCATAATCTCGAGCCATACGCGAGCCAGACCAAATCCTTTCCATGGAAATGGGCAAACGTTGTTTTTGATTGTAGATTGCAAAAACCTTCACAAATTTACACAGTAACTCATCCTTCACTCTCACTTCAGTTGATGAGTCTTGTATACAACGTAAGACACAAGTGAACATTTAGTTAAACCTATTGAACGAGCTGCGAGTTTCAACGGAGACGCCTTCTTAGAGATTTCTTCCGATGAGTTTCCTCACCTGACTTCGGAAAAGGAAGAAGTAGTGGAGTTCAAATTCAAAACAAATGAAAGTGACGGAGTAAGCGAAACTTCCTTCTTCAGCCAATTTAATAGACTGGAAACTGGGTTTAGGTTCTTTTCTGGCAAGGACAACAACGTGGAGTATCGGTTGTTGGCGAGGACTACTTCTCAGTAGGAGTAATAGATGGTTATATCCATTTCTCGTACGTATATCTTCCGACAAATATACAGATGTTAAACACGGTTTTAAGCTACGAGCTAGGCGGTGGAGCAGCCCATATGATGAGTGAGCAAAGAGTTGATGACAATAAAGAGCATGTAATTCGCTTAATACGGTAGAACTTCATTTAGTTTGTCAACACCACTTCAGGATTTGAACAAAGAAATTTTTCAGAAAAGGTAGACGAGGCATTCTTAAATTGGACGATAGTCCTGAGCAAAGGAGTCTGAGCAGCGGTATTCTGGCTATGCTTAATGCCGACGGTAACATTTTTATTGGTGAGTTTTGCTAGTACTATTAAAGATGTAGGGAAGATCTCGTTTGTCTCCACCCACCGCTATTCGCTAGTTCGTTTGTACACAGGGAAATGACTTCTGGTCAAAGTGGCTTTCTTAAAGGCAGCGTCCACCCAAAATTTGGCCCTCCATATTTTCGTAATTCTCGGGCCTTTCCGTGGCCCTGATTACAGTTCCTAGCTTCAAACTCTCCAACATTCACAGAAAACCCGATTTCCGGGGAACCTGTCTTGAGGGCGCGGACGAGTTTCGAATCGCTCGTCCTGTCGGCATGCCAGCGGGGAGGAGCCGCAACTGCATGGGTGCAGTTGCAGCAGTGTGCAGCTTCTGCTCACTGCCATGTCAGTACGTGTCGAGAGGCAGACCCTGCTGGGCGGAGTCTGATATCAGACTCTGCCCAGCCACGGACTTCCAGGCCCCTTATCTCCATTCAGAGACAACGTTGGAAGACCGGACCACCGCAGATGCCCCTTTTCTGGGGCCTACGTTCAAGACCGACACTAATCGAAGGGGGTTAGGTTTAGCCTGGACACTGCCTTTAGAGGCAGCGGCTCGGCAGATTTTGCATTTCCATCTTTTTGCATGTTTTGGGCCTTCTCGACCCGTAGATCCCAAATCTGAGCTTTAAAAGGGGTGAAAAAGCCTTTTTCGGGGCGTTTTTTTTCAATTTCCAAAAGGCAGCTCGGATGAGAATTTTTCAAAGGAAAGTCGGGAGGCCCTGGCACGAAGACCCTGCTGTCTGTAATTTTGGCTTTCTATAGCATGCACAATGCGGTAAAGCGGTTGGGGGGTCTCGCGCCGTCTAGCGGAGAATACTCGTCCGAACAAGGTGTTAGGGGAGCGAAAGAAGGAAAAGGAGGAAGGGGAGCGACGCTTTGGGCGCCCCCCCCCTGGCTTGCAGAATTCACATTTTCGGCCCGGAGTTGCTCTTTTGGTTCACTTGGAGGGCCTCCTATCCATCTGTGTCAAAATCCAAGGTAGGTCTATTCTGCCGAGCCGCTGCCTTTAAATAGGGTGTACACCATATTGGAGAGCTTGCAACGTTAATTTCAGGTTTGCTTTCCTTATCTGCAGAACTTTTGCGGACGAGGAGTTATGAGCGTGTATTGGAGCAAAGCTTGAATGTGCATTTAAAACAAAATGAGGTGCTAAAGTTTTCCTGACCCTTGAAAAAAGAGATCAATTGTGTTGCATTATGTATCTAAGAGTATTCATGGGATAAAGTGCCCCGATACTTATCATGCTTTATAGAAAAGCTAAAAAATATTACGGCTGATTTTTTCCTACTTGCACACAGTTTTTTTTCTACAATAGCTTATAACACCTCGTCCATAAACTTCTGTAAAGAAAGAAAGCAGCTTTGGTATCCGCTTTTAGGCTCTCCAATATGGAGTAGATCTCATCTAAAAAGACCACTTCGACTAAATATGCATCCCTTGTTCGGATTTTGTCAAAATTTCGCCAATAACTGAATCTTTCAAACTTATAACCAGTGTCGTAAAAATTATTTGAGCCTGAAATGGGCATCTATTTTTGAACTCAATTATAAAATTCCTTGCCACGCGATTGACTTGACCGTAAACAACGCATGGGTTCCGGCCAGACTGCGCGATATACTGGCCTACCCGCACGTGCACAAGAATATGGGTTTACTTCGCTCAATCTGACCCAATAAATACAGTAGTAGGAACCGCACCTTTCTTTCCGTCAAACATAATAGATGGATTGATTTTCTTGGATTGGTCCATGATCGGACTTTTCCCACTTCGGACGCTAAAGACTTTGTAGTAAAGCAATATCAGAATTGAGCCACAAATCTCTGTTCTAGTTCTCAGAAAAGAAACAGATAGCTTCTGACACCCATATCTAGGCAATTGTTTAGGAGGTGTTCCCGATATTCACAGAGCCACTGGCGGGATACACGCCAACAATTTCGTCGGTTGCATTGCCGATGTTTCGCTGAATGGAGTGCCGCTCGATCTAATGGGCACTGCTATTGACGGAAAAGACGTGAAACCTTGCGATGAATGGATATTTCCAAGAAGGCGGTTCAAGAGCAGGAGGTATACAATTACTTCAACAAATCAAACATTGTAATCCGCTTTACTAGGAGACACAGGAGCTGGACGATACTGTAAATGACACTTGCGTTATGTATGGAACCACAGGCTCATCTACGTCCGCATCCTACAATTTTAACAACGAAGTTTCTCTCAAATCAACTGGCAGGTCTCACATGTATTCGTAACTTCTTATCCTCCATGAAAGCATATCAAGCCGAAGTTTTGTGTCACTGCGAATTTGTTTTCCGAGTTTAAATCTGTCTTCATGTGATTATTGAATAATTATCTTAATAAAAGTTCTACACGTAAGCTCAAGTGACAATGCATCACAGATCTGACATCATCAACTTTGTTCATTATCATGAGTGAATCAGATGCACCATAACTGGCGCGTTGGCCCAAGCTGAATCTTTTGCAAATTTTCGATCCCTATCAAGCTTAATCTCCCATGAGTTCTGCGTGCAAAAGCGATTCAGACAACAGAAATAAGAATTTCTTTCAAGGAAGAACATTAGGTTGTTTCATGACATTGTGACGTTTTCATTTTCGCCCTTTTCTTTCTGAGAAGAAATGTTGCAGCAATGCGGGATATCACTAGAAAGACCTGATCACGCTCTTTGAAATGCGTTTACTGCCGCAAAACTACTTTCGATTGCTGGCTATGAATTGTCATGGAGAAATAATCTACTTCGATTTCTCGCTTTCCAGGGTGTTTCATACCTGCTCAGTTCTCCTTATGGAAAAGGTGGTTTGAGCCAAATTTATTTCGACTACGGAAAATGGCGCTTAAAATACGAGACGAAAAGGATTGCATTGCTTCAAAGGACCAAGAGTTAGAAAGGGCTCCTCTACAAGAGTTTTTGTGGGAAGGGCAAAACCTTTTCCATCAAGAATCACCAGAGAATAAAGTACCCTAATTTCACGCGTATAAGGCGCACTTTTTCGAATTTTCAAGCGCGCCGCTCAGCCGCTTTAATGTATTCCGAAAAGAAATCCTTACATCGCACGATTCTCACAAGCATACAGCACGTTATAGGGTCCTTTGGTTGTAAAGTCCTTTGGCTTGTCTGGGCTGGTCGATTTTGGAAAAAAATCCCTCTCGCCTTATAAGCGTGAAATTAGGGTAGTTCATTTTTTCCATGGCAGTTAGTAGCTATAAATCGAAAGAGCAACTTTGCGGCAAGAAAGAGACGGTCGACCATAATGTATGCAACCCAGCTGGCCGTATAGACAAAGCCATACTGCAGAATAGGCTCCAAAAATACGTCAGTTGATTTCTTCTGCAAAACAGGAAACATGACCTATGCAAATGTCGTCAGACGCTTCTGCAAGACTTGACTGGAAGCTGATTTGTTATCCAATGAACTAGCAGATCTCATTCTACTGGATTACCTTTATTACTCCATTCTTTCGCAAGCTGGGCTCGGCATCAGCTGGAACCAGGAGACTAAAACGGGGTCCCTTTTGATTTTGAAAAACTCTTGCAAAGCCTTTGACCTTGACCTCCCCTCCCTTACTACTTCTCGTTTGTCTTTTTTTTCTGCCTATCGCTAACCTCAGTATAAAAAGTATAAGTCCGAAAACCTTTTTAAACAACTTAAAAAATAGAAAATTCAAGAAATTATCGCTTTCCTCATCACGCGCAGACGCGTTTTGCTCCATGGTCGGAGTCTGAACCTACCGGCCCAGCACTTGTCTTCTCCTCTCCACATCTCCCTTATTCACTTCCCAACTCTTTCCTTCTGCTTTCCCCACCTCATCCTTCCCCCATCTTCCACTCTCATGAGAATGACAACAGATGAGAAGAAAAAATATAGGAAGGAAAAGGAAATACAAAGGCAAGCATAACCAAGGCCAAATTGCATTGCTTTGGGGCGCGCTTTGCGATTGGAGCTAATAGCTTCTTCCTTTAGGGCTACAAAAAGCCTAGAATACTTACTTAGTTACTTAGATACTTAGATGGCCGTCTTCACGTGGCGTGCGGGACTCAGCACAAAAGTTTGCATCGATCCCTGTCCCTCGCTTCAGACATCCACGATTTTCTTGACTGACGTTGGTGGCTGCGTCCATGAGATCCAGAGGCGAAAATCGTATCCAGCTGATTTCTCAGTTGGTCCATCCGTCCCATGAACACGTCTGCCCCATCTCGTCGATGGTCTTCCTCGGGGACGTTTGCGCGCGAGGAATCCACTCCGATGTTCTTAGTGTCCATCTGTCGTCTGTTCTTCTCAAAAAGTGACCGGCCCATCGGTGTTTCGCTTTCGCAATGTGTTCCGCTAAGTCACGAAGACGGGACATTCCTCTCGCTTCCGTACTACAAAGGCCGACACCAGATGTTGCTTGTGTCGGATCATCTTCAGAAGACTGCGCTCGAGCGCTCTGTGGATGGTCCGTAAAGCTTTCGACGTGGTACAGTGTCGGCCCAAGTCTCAGCTGCGTAAAAGGGCGCCGGGAGACAGTTGAGTCAAACAGGTGGGCATAAAGCTCCGGATCCGTCAGTTGGTCGCTGGCTTCCTTCAGAGCCCTAAAGGCGGCCCAGGCTGCTCTTCATCTCCTGTTAAGTTCTTCCCTCAAGTCGTTCTCCATGTTCGTCGAACGTCGAGATACGCGTAGGAAGATGTCTCCATAATAGGAGCTCCTTCCAGGAGGGCGCTGTAAGGAAGCCCAGAATAAGTATCAGACGGTTTTATACTCGTATGGGAACTTTCAAGGTAAAGGTACATTATATGCAAAAGATTATGAAAAAATGTGTGACAAGAGGTTAGTTCCAGCCCAGCTGGCACCCAAGTGGGAGCGTTGGCTAATTCGGAAAAAAAATTCAGCACGGCTTTCAGTCACAATAAGTTTTCATGAATATTTGGGCAGTAGTTCGAATCCCCTCAAGCGCATGCGCATAGCAAATTCGGTGACATACCTTTTCTTTTTTGGTGAACAACGTTTTTGTTTGTTCGGAGTAAACAATGCCGGTTGCATGGGCGGGGGGGGGGGTACACCGACGGCATGCTTGCGGCTCTTCTCCACGATCAACAAAAATGGCATACCTGTTTTCCCCAAAGCGATATCCAGCTTGACCGTCTTCTGTGCCGGATCCTGCTCGCAAACATATGAACGGTGGTTGTCGATTTTGAAGGAGATTTTGAGCTCTGGTGAGACGATTTTTTCGCGACCAAATGCAGTGACATAAGGAATAATGGGGTTGACAGTTTGGCGCAAGGTGGTGTCAAAAAGATCGTGCGCTCTAGCGAAAGTCATAATATTAACCGTTTTTGACGAAGATTGTTCATATTTGGTTGACCAGACCTAAGAACTAACGAGACACCCGATTAGATGTTCAAATAAGGAGATATGAAACAAAAATGTTGCGCTTGTAATGAACAGCTCATCTTAGGGATGGATGGAGCTGGAGCAGCTTATAAAATGCGCAATGCTGACTTAGCGCTAGTGCCCACTCCCTATCCACAGAGCCTGCAGTCGAAAACGAGATCAAAGGATAAAAGGAAGTTGCGAAAGTTGAAGAGCTAGGATTGAAATGCGATTTGTGTATTTCAATATCTGCGCAGAGATTACCAAGGCCCGTATGCACGTACATCCCCGCGGGGAGGGGAGGGGATCTGAGAAGGGAAGCGTCATATCTCGCTAGTCTATGTATCTTTATTCTTCTTTCTCTGTCTTGGTTTTGAAGGTTCTCATACACTGATGCTTGCGCATAACGGATGCCAGGTTACTGCCATACAAGATTAGATATTCAATATTTCGTCTGATCCCCTAGGGATCCCCAGGGGATCACCTCACATTTTCAAAGTTATTTATCTTTCTAAAAACTCGATGAAAATGTTCTAAAATTGTACTGTGGATATACTACAGCACTGCTAAACATATTTATGGTAGAAATGAGTGAAATCTCAAGATATCAAAATCTTCGATGAACCGCTGCTCGCGAGCCAGGGATTATCGAAAAAATCAAAATCTTCAGAGTCAATTTCTTCTGTCGAAAACATGCTCAGCAGCATCGTAGTATATCTTCAGTAAAATTTTGCGGCGTTTTCATTCATTTTTCAGGAAGATAAACGACTTTGAAAATGTGTGATGATCCCCTGGGGATCCCCAGGGGATCGGAAGAAATAGTAAATATTTAATCTTGTATAGCAGTAACATGGCGTCTATTATGCGCAGGTATAAGGGTATGAGAACCCTCATAAGCACGATAGAGAAGAAAGAAGAAAGATATCTAGAGCAGTGAGATATGGCGCTTCCCCTCTCAGATCCCCCCCCCCCCCCCCTCCCCGCGGGGATGTACGTGCATACGGGCCTAAGTTGATATTATTGTTGACGCGGACGACTGTAAGGGCGTTCGTAAATTTTGTATTGATAATTCCTTGTGTAGAAAATTATGTAGAACGCAAAACTATAGTAACTATTTGAGACAAACGACGTGCACACGTTGGATCAATGAATCGAAGTTTCTCCAAGTGAGAGGTACGAGTGTGAGTTCGCAGTATGCAAAGGTCACCAGATAGAGTTATTTGAGGAGCTAGGCACTGAAAGGCACTAGCTCATTGAGGAAAATCAGACGCACGTTGCCAGTACCTGCAGTAAGCCACTTACATACTTACTCGGAGCATTCTGTCTGTCTTACAAGGAAAGGATACTTGGTGACTTTGGCCTTTTGAAATGAAACGTACACCATTGAATGCATCTTGAAGCGCTGATTCCACATCTGTTTTCACTATCTGCTGTGCGCTCTTCCGAAAGAAGTTATAAACAATTCTTTTCGCCAAAATTTGCACTGTTTTTGATGCAGGATTCACCAATATCGTCAGATTGTTCGCTTACGCACTACAAAAGAACGTACAGATAAAGTAAAGCTCAAGCAGCAGAGCTTTACCTCAATCTCAGGAAAACCGTCACCGATACATCAGAGTTTAAAAAGCCTGCATACTGACGATTTTGACTGCCTAAATCTCGTAAAATCAATTTGGAAAAAAGTCCATAACTTCGCTCAGAGAGTAGCACAGCAGATAGTGAACATAGATTTAGCTGGCATATACCTCATTGCAAAAGGCCATGGTCACCAAGTATCCTTCCTTCGTTAGTAAACCTGCTACAGCATCCGCATTCTACGTAACAAGGGGACTCACAGTACATTAGCATCTTAATAGAGGAAGAATGTAATTCGCTATTGTTCCATAGTCTGAAGTTGTATCCAGCCCATCCGCTCGAAGAGTTTATCAGCCGCCAATAAATTTATGATTTGTTTATGCTTTTGAGATACTCCGCAAAAAGGTAGTGAACGATGGTAAGCTAATTTGATTCAGGGCATTTTGGCATATCATAGATGTATATCTCAAAGCTTCCATTCTCGAAAAGAAGAACTGTAGAATGTTGAGCGTCTTTCTGTATCAGCCGAGTCCCGGCACGAGCTTGCATCTTGGCATTTTCGAAACTCCATCAGACTCTATGCCCATTGAGTCTTCCAACTTCCACTTGACATTAACTTACCTAAATTGAGCAACTTAGGCCAATATGTCTATTTTCTCGAATGCAGTGTAGCTAGTTCTTTTCTTATTTCAGGTGACTAGAAGTTTCAGTTTCTCTACGATATAAAGTTCTCCGCACTTCATCCCTCCCACAAGCTCTCCGGTTTTTCGTATCGCTGATTCCCACAAGATTCTCTTGTTTTTTTTGTCACAAAAAAACAAAGTTCATGTAGACTCAAATCATGGAAAATAGAATAAAATAAAAATTTTGGTGACCCACCTGCTGAAAACATTTCAAAGCAGCACTGACAAAAATAGAGTTGCTCATAGTTTTCTCGAGGGAATGGAAAGGAACACGAACAGAGGACTGTTAGTCATTTCTTTATGGTTGCGCAATATTTGGCGCTAATTGCAGAATTTCAACGCGTTCTTCTAGAATGTTGCAGAAGTTTCCGACATCTGATTCATCGGTTGTAACACGTGCCGTAATTTCTTATATAATAAAGAGCTTTCTTCATTGTTCTACTTTTGATGTGTTCCTTATAAGTCTCGTTCAGACAGATTTTACTTGCCTGGCAATCCCATTATGCCTTCTATGCTTTCAAAATATAATTTCTTTCTTTAGCTTCTGAATTATTTTCTTTTTTCATTTCTAAAATTCAAGCCGAAAGGTGTTGTTCCAATGGGTTTCAGTATTCTGTCCTTGCTTGGGTTTTTGTTGCTTTTTTCTCCTTTTTCGTTTTTCCTTTCAAAATAGTAGTAATTTCCCATGTTAGTCCGATTTTTTTGAGTGTCCCATGATTTCAAAGTCATGGTTATTTCTCCGGTCATGAGGTTACTGGAATAGCGCCCTTGATTCGTTTCCGTATCGTAGGGTTATTTGTCTTTTTATTTACTTGTGTCACTTCATTAACGTGTTTCTATACCATATCAAAAAATTTTGTTGTTTTGACTTGGCACATCATCGTGGTGAATAAGACTGCAACGCATCCGTTTATTGCAATACTTTACAGCTCAGAAATGCTTGCAAAAGAATTGTTCAATTAAGGATAACTCTTGGTACCCATCAAAAGATTCTAAAAAGTGAAAAAGCTATGCTGTTCGTACTCAATGCTAACAACATACCTATAGTTAAGCAGAAAAAATTACTACGAATGAACGAAAAATGGAAGAACCTAGAGCATTCTGCCAGATTAAGAATTGTGTTACTTTTTCTACAAGCATACGGAGTACATGATATGGAATTAGAGCCCAAAATCAAGTACAACACGCTGTTTCACTCAAAACAGTATACCATTTGAACAGTGGCGGTTTCAGGACTTCCGTTCGGGGGAGGAGGACGAAGATTTTTCTCGGATGGGGGCATTGGTCACGCACTCCAAGAAATTCTTTGGATTGCTTTCCAAATTTTTTGCAGGCCCTCGAAACTTTTCTTTACAGACCCATATAACATTTTTTGAAACATCTGGAAAATCATTTCAACCTTTTAGAAGAAGTATAGAAGCTTAGAATAAAGAAATCATATGCACTATAACTCATGTAAATAAATTTCAAAAATGTCGCAACGCAACGGCAGGGGGGAGGGGGCATTCCTAGATCTGCCACTGCTTTTGAACTAGGAGTAGTTTAGATCCTGCTGTACATCAAACGACTGCCTTTCGCGGTTTTAAATAACGGACCCAAATTTCGATGAAAATCAATGGCCGCGCGTCTGTACGAGCTTACTATGAGAAGATTTACAGCAGATGGGAATCAATGGTCGCCTGACTTAGCCTACGCAAACTTTTCTAGCATGAGTATTATCACCAGAAATCAATCAGTCACCTCTTCGTTCGTTACACTAGTTTTCGATAACAACCAATGTTTTTATGTTTCGTGTGGAAATCGCGCTATCTCTTAACGGTGTCGAAAATCGTCGACCTATTTTAGTCTTCTTTTGATATGTTCAAGAATTAATCTCACCAGTATCACGTCTAATTGTGATCACCAACGTTTTACTTTCTTTTAGAAATAAAGTAGCTAGAATAAGAAGTGTGTGAATTTTTGTTGTATTGTACAAAGATCACGTGAACTTCAAGCGGTCTATGAAAAACTTTTGAAAATGTAAGAAATTTTATATTTTGGGACCTGTACGAAATCTAAACTGAATGTCGAAATCCAAACGCAGCGGCTCCATTTTCGAAAATGGGTTTTCGAGAATCCCCATTGGTTTACGTTTATGTTGGATAATTGTAGTTTGGTACTTATTTACTTTTATGCTTGTTTGGAGTAGCATTTCGCTGGTTCGACATCTGCCATAAATCTGCTTTTATCATCCTTTGAGGTCCTGCATTTGTTTAGGAGCTTGCTCATTTTCAAGATGCTGAACATACAATTTTTTTAGAACCATACCCTGTATAAATATAAGAAAATAGAGCTAATTCTATTCTTTACCAAAAACTATTTTGCACACGAATGTATCTAGATCCGTTATGAACTATAAAGCAAAAAAGGTTATTTGGACTTCGAAAACTGCACTATTGGGGGCTTGAATGTGGGCTTCAATTGGGATATGAGCTTTAGGTTCCTCCTAAAATATGAATTTTTTTACATTTGTAAGTCTTAGCTTTTGATTCCCTTCTGATTTAGCCGCTATCTTCAAAAGGAAACGGATAGCTCATATCTTTCACATACTTAGTTTTCATCTTGAATATTCATAGTTTTCCAAGCGAATCGGTCAATTGCCGATCTTGATGCTTGCAGCGCTCTAATATAGAAAGCCGCGGCGCAGGTGCTACTCAGCGCGGCGTGCTCAAGCGCGCAAGTTGAATCGACGCACGCAGCTTCGGCTAAGTTGCTCCGATCGAGATTTTTGCCAGACGGGCAGTCGTGTGACACCTAACGTCTGGCGTGATCGATGCTCCTCGAAAAATTCTTCGCTTCACTCGGAAGTTGTTCGTACAAATCACACTGTGAAGGTCCAAATCCTTGAAGGGGGTTTAATACTTTGTTGTCGATTGATCTGAATTGATCAGTGCTTTGATTTCTATTGTTTCTCAGTAGTGTTCTTGAAACTAGTTGCTTTATTTGTCCTCAATCCTTGGGTTGTTTGTCATTGTTTATCATTATACCAGATCCATTTATGCTTCATTCGTTCAGCACAACGCTACGATTACAATGAGTGATAAATGGAACTATCATCCCAATCGAGGTCCTCATCCGGAACCTGCTTACAATGGTGAGGCTTGTTTTTGCAAAATAGGCTGTTCTTTTGCTTCACAAGTTTATTTTGGATCGCATGAATTGCCAAAGATCATAACAGAGCTGAGATTTATAAATACACACTTGTTTACGTTAGTAAGACTTGCGGAACTTGGACGTTAATGTTAGAGTTGCAAGCAAGAGTTAAATTTCAGAATATTCAATAAGATCGGCAAGAAACGCTGAACAAGGTCATCCTTTTACGCAAAACCTCAAGGATTCGTTTCCCTTGGCCCTTTCTGGGAAGGGGATTTTTGTTTGTTTATGTTGTTTATCTATGTCTGAAACGCATTGTTGGAAGCTTTTTTTCATCATCCACTGGATCCTTTGGTGGACCTTACCGTGGGGTAGATTCCACGCTTGTAGGAGAATGAAGAACGTGTTTGAAATAGATTCTGTAAGAGGATTGGCTTTATTGGCTTCAAGTGTTCACTTCAACAAATTCCCTAAATGCCGCCATCCGCCTCAAACATGCAATTCGAATGACATTTTCTGACAAGTAGCATTACGCTACCTAGTTCCCTGCTAAGGTCCCGGCCAGACTTCGCTTAAAAGCGCCCAAAAACGCCCAAATTTCTCTAACCTCTCAACTTCCATCTCTCCTCACACGAGAAAGTGAAGAGTCATCAGAGAAATTTGGGCTCTTCTGAGTGCTTTTGAGCGCTTTTGAGCGAATTTTGTTCGAAGACGGGGGTAGGAACGCTATGCACAGTTGTCTACGAAGTTTTCGTGCTTTTACCTATAAGTTGTGAATCATCTAAGAAAAGCTACAGCGCAAGTGTTAACTTGTTAGTCACACTTGTGCAAAGCGTTTTTTAGTCCGCTATCCTCAAAATAGATGCTAACTCTTGTCGCAGTTAACTATGTCACGTCATTTTTATGACGGAAAAGTCTACGATTTGGAACTCAATGGTGTTTCAGCATAGAGAATGTTAGGTAAACAAGTTTAAAAAATTCGAATATTATGCACAAATTATGAGTTAGATTTCACTTATACATGAGTTTTGCATTATACTTCTAGGCTGCACTGTTCCGCATTCCAGTTGTTCCCTATTCCTTTTCTTGCACACCTTCAAATCGAATCCTACCTGATTTTCGCTTAACTGTAATCGTTCCAGTTGATTAGCATCCTTTTTTGAACACTGCTTGTTGTCAGATGATCAAGTGACCACGGCGTTTTTTGAATGATATTGAGCGGAATCATCACAATCTCACGTACTAATTTTTTTCCTAGCTGAAGTGACAAGTACAAATCAAAAGGGACCAAGCACCTTTAGCCGCGAATTTGAAGTCTTGTGAATATGAAGTATGTAAATAGCCCATTTTCAAATTTTCCTTGTAAAACGGGTTTTTTGCCAATTTTGTTTATCTTGCTTGATTTCTCTCTGCACAATGAAATCTCATGTAGTTTCTTATCATGCTCCATTCAGAATGGGCGTACAACGGCTATCCACAACATCAGCGTCCTCCTCCCGATTACTACGGCCAACCAAATTTTGCCGTACCTCCACAATACCCATGTAGGAGATACTTCTGTGGTTTGGAGCTTACTCGTTTCTTCAACTATGCTCTACATTTTCTTCAGGTCCTCCATCAGGTTTACCACCACAGCGTTTACCCACATTTCCTCTCAATCCAAACGCAGCGACATTTGTACCGAGAAATTACCAACGACCGAATGTGAGTATTTTTATGTTAGTCATCTTTTTTCCAAGTTTCCAAGTTTAAAGTGCCAGTTCTCCCAAGAGGTCAAAAAACATTGTGCATTTGAAATGATTTGCATTAAAAAGCCCCCAGAGCTAAAATCTCAATATCATTGGAAGTAGATACTTTTGTCAGGCATTTCCAAGTCTCCACTTGTTTGAGCACTTTTTTCTGCCATTGTTATCGTATTAAGATTTTCATTTTACCCTGAAAAGTGTTTGTGAAGTTTTCTCACATGGTCACTTTTCACATCATGCAAATGTCATTCTGCGGTATTCCTCGATGACGAGTAATACCATCAGTGCAGGCATCTGTGTGCCACACCGAGTATAAGAATCAGATGAGATCTCCTAGCTAACAAACACGACAACTTTTCGTTACTCTTCTTCATCGGATAATTTTTATTGGGTAAGAAGTAGCAACGCACATTGTGCGATTGCGCGTGATATTTTGGATATCGTTGCGATTCTTGCGTAGATTCCCAGAAAGTTCTTGCGTTTGGCAATGAAGAAGACACGCCAAAGGCTAATATGCTAGTTTTGCAGTCGCTCAAGTTACCCTACCCCACTGCACTTCTTATCTAGCGCCCGCTCCGTTGTGGATTTCATAGATTTCATATCTGAGCACTTGAAGGCTAGATCAGGCTATAGTCGGTAACGAATTGACCAGGATAGGCGTGTTGCATGCCTCGTTTGTTCCGATGGGGTTTATTTTTGGTTTTACGGAACTGGGTAGCGGTGTGACCGCTTCTTTCCGGTAGTGTCCTCGTAACAGAGTAGAAGATGCTTAGCGCCCAGTCCATAGATTATCGAAATGCGAACGACAAACAGTACGCTACATACACGCTATCTTGTATTTGCTTTATTGTTTTTGAATACAAGAGCCGGTAGCAAGCCGGAGGAGAACAACAACGAAAAAAGATGACTATGGACCAGACATCGCTTTCAAAGTGCACTTTGACGAAAAACTATGCAATGTATACAACTTTGGAATTTCGAAAAATGGGATTAGCGTGAGCAAAAAAATTGCGGAAATATGGGTGAGGAAAGTGCGTGAAATGTCCCTACCCTCACGCGCTTGCCCTTGTCGGTGGGAACAACTGAGTGGTCTGGATCGCAACTCCGCGCGCGATCGGCGAGGCGATCACTTGTTGTACTCCGCAATGATTCATCCTAGTAGATACATCATGTATAATTTGGTGTCAATACCCCCCCCCCCCCCCTCCCCACAACCCTCCCCCGACCTCGCATTGCCTCAAGAATATCTTTTGTGTATCGCGTGGTCACGAAAACTTCTGGAAAGTTGGAGAGTAGTTGAGATGCAATGTCCTATCCATCTTGTTTCAAACCATGCTTGCTTCTGGTCTCGCTGGATTTTTATCAAAAACAAAGCAGAAGTAGGTTACATCCCCACACGCGATCGTCAACTTGCTTTTTTGCTGAGTCTATTTTCACACTTCATCTCAGTCGGGCTTGGACAAGACTACAGGTTTAAGTTCAGCTGTGGTTCAAAGCCTTGTAATACCAATTTTGAATCAAAATGTCAACTTAATCATAAGTTCTTTCTTCGAATCATGTGTGCATGCACGATGCAGAGCTTGTCGGGAAGATTGGAAAATCACGAAACTAATCGCTTTCAATTTTATATAATATTTTGCGCTTTGATTTTAACTTTTCTGGAATAGCTTTAAAAATTCGTTGCAACCAAAATCGTCCCTTTTCGCTTCATACCCGTTGATTTGTGGCTGATGGCGAATGGCAGCTTTAGCAACAATGATAATGTTTGAATTTGGAGTTGTACTTTACCTAATGCATTGTAGATTTACTTGCTTTGAATGTCATTATTGTTTGGTCATATTAGTTTTACCGCATTTATAAGCGCGATGAACACTTCAGCAGCCTATTCGTAATTCAGTCACTTGCTTCATTGTCTTTTCTGCCATATTTTCTCTCGCTCTTGGCTGGCGCATTTTCTGGCAATCGCTACAATTCTTGGATACCATTCAAAATTCATTTGATACAAAATATCTGTTTGATTGATTTCATTTGGTTCTTAAAGTCTCACTAGCATCTTGCCAGGCCTGAGCTGTAAAAACTTTCAAGCAAACATCTGTGTCTTATTGTTCTGCGTTTCAACGAACAGTTCGTTGCTCAGTAGAAAGACTTCCATATTTTTGCCAGAGTTATGGTTTTCTAAAATTAGTAGAGAGAGTATAAGGTCAAAGCGAGGAATTGATTTTTTGCGAGATGTTCTGAATCCGTAATGAATATGAATTTGCGGAGTTTCATGGTCATGTTGCACGCCTTTGTCAGTGTTAATAACATGCATTTTTTGTAATGGTTATTATGTGGAGCCTTCGCACAATTTTTGAAAGCAATTTGTGTCAGTTTTTGTAGCGCTCGCATTCAGAACTAGATGAGCTTCTAGAACTTCACGCAGGAACTGTGTCGCGTACGACGTTGCGCCGACCGAACTCGATGCTATTGATCGCCATGGATAGAGTCGTCCCGATCGCAAATACATCGTCGACCGTCCTCCATCAATCATTCTTTGACTAAATGCGGCTTGTAGCGTGTAGTGCAGGATGAGTGCCTTTGTCGTTCACAGCTGGTACATTTCGTCGATTTGCATCAGATTTCCCCTCATCGATGGCTTACAGTTCTAATCATCAGGTTATCCAAATTAATGCGTTTTGAGTTCTAACCGCAAGTCATACACTTCTCAGTTCTAAATAGGCTTCAAAGTATCATTCGATAGAGCACGGCAAACTCTATAAGATAATGTTCTTGCTATGAACCAGCTTCGATCCTTCCCGAGTTTGAAGCCAAAAACTAAAAAGATCTAACCGCTAACCGCCCAAAAAAAACGGGAAAATTTGTAAATCCATTCAAAATAATCCTACAAAATTCCTAACTTGCTGACTTATACTCTTTCCACATAAGACATTTATGTACACCGTTGCTGGATTTATCAACGGAAGAAAACGAAGAATCTTGCTTTTGCCAAAGTGATGTGCACTGCTCCCAGATAAGTACTCGTGTACAACAAACACGTAGAAGTATCCGTAATTTATCTGTATCCGTACATCCGTAATTTTTCAGCTCTTTACAAGCTCTAGCTTTCGAGAAATATGGATCATAGCGTGAGACACCCGACCAAAAGATGCTATATTCGATATTTCTCGAGAACTAATGCTTGTAATTGTGAAGTCATATTTGCACTTCCACAGGGTTGTGTATACAGTCACGTTATTCATGTGGGAAGGGTACAGCATCACTTTAGCAAAAGCATAAAATTTTTCGTTTTCTTGGTTCTGACCGAGGAGAAAATACAGCAACGGTATATATAAATGTCTGATGGAGAGTGTATACATGAGCAAGTTAGGAATTTTTTAGGATATCTAGGACGGAGTCAGATTTTTCTCGATTTTTCAGGTAGTTAGATCTTTTTAGTTTTTGGTGGCTTGAAACTTGAGGTGGTTGAAGCTGGTTCAAAACGAAAAGTCATCTGGTCATCTGCATCTTGCTTTGCTCTATCGAATGATCGAAATCTGTTTACAGTTGAAAAGTGTATGATTGCGGTCAATTTGAAACGGTCAATAACTTTCGAACAACCTGATGCTTTGAAAGTTTAGCATTCGCTACAATTAAGAGCTAAGACTTTTATATAATTGCCTGAGATAGCATGATTTTCATACCACTTTGATTCCAGCAAATCCGTTCGCGATCTAATTTCATCCATGAAATGAGTTAAATGCTCATTAGCTCAGTTATAATATTGTAGAATCTAGAAACCATTCAGTATGTATATAACGCTCTTTACAAGGAATAGATTGCCTTCATTGAAAATTATCCTATGTAGACGCATCTGGAAGCTTTTTTTTTCATTTCTTTCGGACGAAATCGAATCTTACAGAATAACGATTAAGTGTCTGAATCGCATTTGATGCGGCACTATTTTCTTCTAACCGAAATCTAAGTTAAGTCTTCAGTCCATTGTCTTTACTGTTTGAATTCTATTGTTTTCGGAACATTTGTTTCGATCCTTTGAGAAAGCTCAGTTGGTGCGTTTTTGTGACTCATCTCCCATGTTTCTGTGACAACTCCAATAATTCATTTGAATTAGAAGCAACTCATAATTGCGCCTGGAATCTTAAAAACTTATCTGTTTGATGGCGATCTTCGCTATAACTTAGAGTTCAGCGGAGAGCGTCGAACGTTGGAAACCTTTGGGGATCGTAGTTTTCTGCAAAATGTAGCAGATAATAGCGTGATTAATATAGTGAAATAATCTTGGAAAATTTTGCTCGTTGATCAGGTAGATAGAATAAACAAGAGTGTAAGGTTTGCTTTGTCTTGACTAGTTTTTGTTTAAGCCTAAAACAAATACTAAGGTGATACTTGACCTCGATACAACTATGAGAAGGCTTTTGCATTGAAAACTCGCAATGAGAATACGAACATGCTCAAGAAAGTTAAAAAGTTCTTTGAGCTCAAGATTATCTATTGGTTGGTGTTCAGTGATATCAGGACTTTCTCTATAAAAACCGAGGGAAACCTTTGGACGACTTGATACATTGATTGACTATAATGCATCGCAATTCCGCAGAAAATCGGGCAAGTAGGCACCTGGTACGAAACTGTTTCTCATTGTTTACTTTGATCCGTTTGAGAAGAAAAAAAACTTGAACAATTGGCAATCCTGTTTCCATTTTGTATCTCTCCTGTGCTCTAGAAGGAAGTCGCAAATGCCTCCAGTCAATTTAAGGAAAGCCTAGTTTTTATAGTTCATACGATGCAAGTCACATTTGCTTTTGATTTACTCGGTTGTCTTCTTATGGAGTAGAATCTTTGGCGCATGAGGACGATATCCATAACCAGCTCTCACCCAAACGTTCTCTTTTGATTCACTCTCTTCCAAGAACAGTGAAAGTCCTCACGATCTGAAGTTGGTGAAGGAAAAGCTTGTGCGCTTTCCAAGTATGTTTCGAACAGCTTAGAAAGTTGTCGTTCTTTTAGTAGGAAATTCCTAGTAGAAAATCTTGCTGTTGTTGCCCACTAAGAATTTGAATTATTCGAGTTCGCTGTCATTGGTCATCATGTCGCATGTTGAACGATTGATTTACTTTTAACCCACTAACGACGACACCTGATTTTGCATGGCGCAGCTGTGGGACGACGCGATTTTGCACAACACTTTTGGCGTGGAAAAGTCTTCTGATTATTTATGAAGTATAAAGTTGTTTTGTAAACAGCTACAGTCATTTTCTCGGACGACAAAGTGTGCAGGCCCCAAGAGTGCAAAAAATTGGAAAAAATACTGAGCTGTTGAAAAAATACTAGATGTGGAAAGGATATGATTTCGCAAGGGGTGTGGGCCACCGGTGGTCCACATCGTCCCTGGTGGCAAAAAGTGCGTGGGCCACCGGTGGTCTGTAGTCAATGGGTTGTGAAAAAAAGTGCCCCACAAAACGCATGCTTCGTTCCATCTGATGTTTAGCTGCTGAATTTAAAATCCATTCTCCATGTAAGGGAAAAAGTATATAAAATTAAATAGAGTTGACATTGAGTTTCTGCATTTACCAAGGCTCTGGTAGAAGCGTCTGAATCCAGTTTTAGCTATGGAAAAGGCGAAGCAGAGCTTTTCGATGCTCTCAAATTCTTAGAAGCTTTCCTATTGCTGTGATTTGGCGGCAATCACAGTAATAAGGGAAGCATTCAGCGCGCAACTCAGACTCAATGAAAGCCAATAAACAATTGTTCTTGTACTATTCTGATTATTTGTCAAAATGTGGCCAATGCTGTGTGCTTGGTTCAAAATGGCACATCGATAAGCGGTGCTCTTCTGATCGCTGATATTCGCATGCAGTGCGATTTCCAGCAAAAAATAAAGTGGACTCATTGAAGAATCAATCTTACCCATCACTTTGACCGTTAACCTCACAATCCATGATTATATTCAATGCTCTGAAGTTCTTCCTACAAGTAGCACTTTTAATTATTGAAAAATACTTCAATCACCACGAACAACTAGAACTGTTATCTGTAAGATTCAGTTTAGTCTCACTCAGGGTTGCGCAAAGAGTTTCCATGGTTGAGAAGCGCGCTATACAGAACAATTTTTCAACCTTGAAACAATTTTGGTCACTCTCAAAGCCACTCTCTCTTCTCACTTCCTTACTCGGTAATCTATGGAGGTTTTGCCAATATTGATATTCGCAGTCTCTTTCGCGAACTGTAATTTTCGAGTACACCGTTGATCATGTGAGAATTTTTACATTTTGATCGTCTGACGTCAGCTTGTTTCGCTTGTAAGCACATGAGTTGCAAAAGAGAAAGCTTTTATTTTTTCGTCATGTTGCTGCGCGTTTGCCTCGAAATGTAAAGGATCTACGAAAGGAAAAATAATGAAATTATACCCTATAGATCCATGGTGGCATTTTAAAATATCTTTATCCAATATGTATATGCAGTGAGTGCGTCTCAAGCTGCACATCTGCTTTTTTTTTTACCACGGCGTATTTTTCAACGTAAGATATCTCACCTCTAAGACTAAATCTAAGTTACCGGAAGTGATATGAATTATTGACAAAGATTTTTTTTGTGAAGTAGTGCTTAGAGGGTTTTGCTTGACCATCCAAACCGCCTTCTTCTTGTGGCGTAGACTGACCATGAATCGATTTTTTTGTGTAATGCTATTTACACAATGCTAATTAATCTTGGCAGAAAGTGGTCATTATTCCCCTTAGTTTTGATGTAGAGATGGCTTTATGTAGAAGCTTCTTTAAACATTTTACTGCAGGTTATCTATAAGTACTCTAGCCAAGTCATCGATGTCTAACCTTTTCTGATTTCTGGTATGAAAATCTGCTCAGTTGTCATGGCCCTGACCGTAGTTGACAAACTTGATCTCTTAGGGCCGCATGCACTAACATCCCCGCGGGGAGGGGATCGCAGCTTAAAAGAAAGCTTTATATTTTGAAACTCCAGATACCTGGATTTCACTTTGTGTACCTATCCATAAGTATTCTTACTACCCTTCACTATGAACATGTTGAAGGGGAGCGAGAAGCTGTACGAACCGCATTTTCCAGCTTTTGTATGATCCCTGATGATCCCCGGCGCTTTTCTTTAGAGTCATTTTTCTTCCTCCGAAGTTAACGAAAAACCTCCAAAGTTGTGCAGATTATCTAAACCGACAGTGCTAAGCATGTTGCTGATAAGAACAAATGATGTTTCGAAGTCATGAAATTTTCGATGATCCACAGGTCGAAATTTGAGGTTTGCCGAAAAATTCGACTTTTCAAAAACTCATTTGTTCTCATCAGCAACATGCTTAGCACTGTTGTGTTAGATGTTCAGTACAACTTTGGAAGGTTTTCGTTAACTTCGGAGAAAGAAAAATGACTTTAAAGAAAAGCGCGGGGGATCATCAGGGATCATACAAAAGCTGAAAAGTGTGGTTCGTATAGCTTCTCGCTCCTCTTCAACATGTTCATAGTGAAGGGTAGTAGGAATAGTTACGGATAGGCACACAACGTGAAATTCAGGTATCTGGAGTTTAGAAATATAAAGCTTTGTTTTAAGCTGCGATCCCCTCCCCAGCGGGGAGGATAGTGCATGCGGCCCTTAGAGGCAGTGTCTAGGTTAAATCTAACCCTCTCCGATTAATGTCGATCCTGAGTGTGGGCTCCGAGAGGGGCATCTGCGTTGGTCCGGTTCTCTAACGTTGTTGAATGGAGATAAGGGGCCTGGAACAGCCAAAGTGCTAAGGCCCCGCCCAGATCCTATCAGACTACGCCCACCCATGTGCTTAAAGCAGTCCGCGCCCTCACTACGGGTCCCCAGAAATAGTGCTTCTTGGAGGTTTTGGAGAATTTAAACTTCATAACTGTAATCAGGGCCACAGAAAGGCCTCGGAATGGCAAAAACATGGGAGGCAAATTTTGGGTGGACGCTGCCTTTAAAGGCAGTGTCCGGGCAAAAACTCGATTTTGAGATTTTGTGCTTACTTGGGCCTATTCGCTTTGCTGAATCCGAAAATGCACATTGTAGAGCGCGAAAATGGCGAAAAACGGCTCCAACACAGGAGGGAAATGCGCAGGTGGGCGGGGTCCTCCCCGTTCACGTTCCCGGCTTCCGGAGCGACCTTTTCGCATCCGGTTTCAAGTCAACCATTCGCACTTGGCCGGTAGCGATGTTAGAACGGCTAGCAGAATCGAAAAGATCGCTCCGGGGGCTGGGAGCATGAAATCGCACTGGGGAAAGCCCCGCCCATTTGCTGATTTCCCTCCTATGTTGGAGCCCTTTTTCGTCGTTTTCGCGCTTTCCAATGTGGATTTTTGGATTCAGCATGGCGAATAGGCCCGTATAAGCACAAAATCTCAAAATCGAGTTTTTGCCCGGACACTGCCACAAGCTGTCCTTAACTTGACGGACGGGACTGTCTGGACTATCCTCGTCCGGTGAGTCGTGCTTGCCGTTAATTCTCAGGTCATCTAGTGATCAGCTGTGTGGATACAGCGTTATGTCGTCAGTGCTGAAACACAATCCGATGAATGTAAAGGGCATTCGAAAAATCGTGACCATGGTGCGACTGCACGCTACACGCACGCGCTCCAGGCAAACGTATTTTCTTGGTTTTCATCTCTATGACGGTATCTGGACACCGGAAGTGACGAGCTGAGCCTTGACGTCATGCCTTCTTGAATGCTCCTGTGTGGCGCAGAGACCGCAGTCAAATCCGTCGTCACGATTGTATACATCTCTTTCTTTTTAATTCATACATCATTTGTGTTGCGTCACAATTATAATGGACACATGAGAACCAGCTGTGTTTTGCATTGTTTCATTTTCCAGGATAAAAAAGTTTTGTGGTGTCTAGAACGCGTTTATGGTTTCCCCAGTCATTCATCACCAATTTCAAAGGTTACTGGGAATGCGTTCTACTTGTTCCATTAGCCTGGACGCGGCTTTTTTGTTTCTATATCCTTTTCATGCACTTTACTTTTCAATCGAATTGTTGTACTGATTGACTGACTATCTTTGGCAAATGTCTGAAAAGTACTCTGCTTGCAAATACTCTGCTCTGAAAAGTACTCTGCTGCAATAATGTAGAATTGACATTTTATCGAGAATGCCAGAAGAGAGCATGATTTGAGCATGACAGCAAAAAACCCCTACATCATAGCACTTGCAAGCTCGGTCATTATTTAGACAAATCGTCTTTTAATTCTCGAAAAGCCATGTCTATGGTATTTCTTTGCAGCAGACAGGGCCTGCAATGGCATACTTCCCCGGTGATGATGTTGAAGTTCGCGCCTATGAAGCTATGTACAATAATCAGTATGGAAATGGAGCTGTTATGGACGAGTAAGAATATTTGTTTTTGTGAAATCGTCCCCATCGATCTCATCTGTTACGTTTTAGGTATATTCCATCGCAAGAATTACATCATGACATGATACATAGTGACAATCTCGTGTCCCTTCAAGAAGTACGCAGTGTGTGGATCTTTTGATCTAATCCGAAGTGGGTGTTTCAGATTCAAGTCGGGCTCGAACAGCTCCTGAGTGATGCGGATGACTTTGATTCCTGGTCTGGAGCAATCCGTGATAGGATGACTGAAAAGCGAATGTCGCCGCCGACAAGAGCGGTTGCCGTGCATATGATTTTTGAGATGGTGGGTGGATATTCTTATGCAAGCATCGCGTAATGTGAATCTTCTAGGGCATCGCGGTTTCTTCTCGACCTCTATCTGGTAATAGCCCTCAGCATACGCTTGCTCGATTAGTGAGCTTCCTTTGTGCAGAGGTAAGCCTTTTCGAGAACTACATCTGCTACACGAATTCTGTTATTTTAGATTCCATCATTGTTACGTGATACCGTTTTGAAACTGCTATGTGATTTCCATTCAAAACATCAGTCTCTTCACAATGAGCAGAAGATTAATCTGTGCGTCTTCTTTGCTGAAGTCTATGAGAAACTCGAAACGGTAATTTTTCTCTGATGGAGCAATTATGTTTTCATTGTGTGCTTTAAATTGTTTGGTTAAACACTTTCGTGCCAATCAAAATACTTGCAAATTTGTCAAATCTTCAGTCTTTCTGCATTGTAGAGGGGAACAAAATTGTGGTTGTATTGGCACAACAGGGTTAATTTTCAGAGCGATAAAAATTGATTTTAATTTGCTCCTAGCTAATTTCTACCATTCGATTTGCAGGACAATGGCACCAGAATTGAAAAAGTTGGAGAAGCCCTGTTGGAGCAACTGGATGACCTGCTCAAACTTGAAATGCATGACCAGCTGATGAAGACCATCATACAACTTGTCAAGGTACAAATGATCAGAAACGATTTTTACTCATTCAAAGTACTGGCAATTTCGTAATTCTATCTTCATTCGTTGTTATGTTCAGTTATGTGGACGTCACTTGGATTCTTCGCCTGTTACCGAACCTCTTGTTAACCAGCTGCTCACTAAATTGCTTGCATTTGCAAAAGGCCACCCACAACTTAGCGAGTTAGTTACTCAAGCGCGGTGCTGTTATACTCACCAAACTCTATCGTTCCTAGGTCTGTGAAAACTCAAATCAACTGCGTAGTTGATTTGAGGAAGAGTGGATGGGGTATCTCTTCACGAGGTGGCGGTGCAGCATCCGACACGGCTACATCTTCTTCAAATCATTCCGTTCCATCTAGCGGCGTAATTGTTGGCGACGATGGCGCTGCGCTAGATCTCAATGATGAGGAGAGGTGTTTCCTTGAGTCACAGTTCAATGCTATGGATGGTACGTTTATCGTTAAGACTGGTTCTTTTGAGTGTTAAGTCTAAGGTTCAGAAGAACATGATCAATCATTTGATGAACAAGAAGTAATGAAAGATTACGGTGTTTTCGTTAGGGAGGAGGAAGACCGAGAAAAAGTGAGTCTTTCTTTCGAGTTTTCTGTTTTGCTTGATGTCTTAGATTGTTTCTTTTTGCCATCGATGTCACTTTGTTCCTTTCAATTTTCACCACTGTAATTCGTTTTAGGAGCGTAAATGTGCTTCAATGTTAGAAAAGCTGAAAGTGTGCGAGTCAGAGCCAGACAAGAAGGCTGAAACTTCTGACACCACTACCTCCCCATCTTGTCCATAATAGTCATTAGTGTGATTGTTCTCTAATGTTTCCAAAAAAAAGAAACTATCTTGTTCTATGTGAAATGCAAATTCTACATCTTTTATAGTAACCCAGCTCTGTGTATTTACGACACCCACATCGCTCGATGCATATGGACGTGTAAACTAATGATCTTGAGGTCGTCGTGATTATATCTACCATTGATAGTGGCATTAACGTCACCTCCAGTCAGTTTGTTTAGTCGTGTAAATGTTTTTATCTGTTATTTGTTTTGCAAACTAATGGTCTGAGTAGTCAGGGAATGGCATACAAGTCTTTTTAATGCAGTAAAAAATAACCATCTCTGCGTATAGCAAAGGTTCCCTCAGCTATTCCACCTGATTTACTTGGGAAATACACGTTTTGACACCAATATAGTAAGTCGCTGGTTGTGAATAGATGTTAGACGCCGTCAGCATTAGCGTTGGCTATGTAAGTTGTGGTATTGGCGCGCACCGACAGTAGTCCAGAGATAGGGCCTAAAAAGTGAAGGTTTTTCGAATATCTGCCCCTCATAGAAAATGAAGATTGGTTAGGAAAATCAGAGAAGAGAAAAATATGCAAAACGGAAGAGAGTTCGAAATCTTTCGTTTGGCGGCAATTCGAAATGCAGATACTCGCTCCAGGACAAGGCAATCGACTGTACGGAGAAGATTTGTGATTGTCCCAAAAACAACCAAACCATGTTTTGAAAGTGGTGATTATCAAGAATAAGATAAACAATAGAAGAATTAGTAATCTCTTGTTCTTCCTCTAGTTTAACTCTTTTCACGCAGTCTTTTCGTGCATTCTATAGACCTTGCTTCTGTTCATATTGTAGACAACCACCCAGCCCTTATCTCTTCGATTATGGCGGAAGAAAAGTGCCTTTTTATTTACCTTGTTCTGTTTTAGTGTTTTCGCAGTGATTTTTTTCCAGCCTGGACGATTGTTGCTTAGAGCAATAAGCGCAACAATCGAGGCAACGACCCAGGAACTGGAACGTCATTGCGAGGGTAAAAATTCAATTACGTATCAAAAACTAAATTTGGCTTTGGCATGCTTTTCCGACTTAGTAAAAAAAAACTTCGCGTTTTCATAACTAATTTATTTCTTGCTTTTTCTTGATAAACACTACTCTCAAAACTTGGGTTTTTTCGAAACTATCACGAAAAGAAATTAGCTTTTCCTCTTTTTCCTTATATCTATTTTGCGTCTTTTTTCTTTTCTGCTCTTCTATAAACTACTATTTTTTATGAGGGCAGATTTTCAAAGAACCTTCACTTTTGACGCCCTTTCTCTAGACTATTGAGGAGGGTGTGTTATAAATCTTCACCGACATGGTAGCATCACGAGTTTGGAAATAAAACATACAATGTTGAGTAATCATCCTTCTTGAGATGACTTGGAGCCAGGTGTGCATGCTTGTCAAGGAGATCCGAGCAGAAGTCTCGGATGACTTTTTCCGTTGACTCAAGCAGTAAATTCCGTCAGGGCTGCGTAGTGCGCCCATCTTGTTCTGTAAGCTGGTAAGCTGCGGCAGGCATTGTGCATAATCCTCTCAGCATCCGTGAACTGTACAGCTGCTTTACTCTCTTCGAGAACTTCCTTCAGCGCTTTTCTGCATCGCTCGCAAGATCGGACGTAACGTAGTAGCCTAGCTCATGCTCGTCTACGTTGGCGTATCAGCTCTAGAGTTCAGGAAGAAAATTTGAAAGAAAGAAGAAAAATTTGGAGTTGCATTGCGAAGGCTAGATTATAAAGTTTTTGAAAATGGAGATATCCGTTCGATAACGAGGGGTAATTTATATGTCCAAAGTTGTATGGCGAACCTCCCCATCCTTTGCAACATCCGTGTGACGGTCTACTTTGACAAGTGCGTCATATACTCATTCGGACATCTAGATATGGTATAGGTTTCAAAAAATACCTCGTTTTGTATTGATTGTGCAGCAAAATAAAATAGAAGGCATTGACTAAAAGCGTCACTATCAAGATAGTAGGTAGGATCTCTAATACTAAGTTGATTGATTCAAGTATAATATTTTTCAGTATAATTGGGACTGTTTCACTATCAAAAAGAATTGATTCAAACGATTCTTTACACCGGGTTACTGTATGCAATGTCATGAAAGTAATCGAACGTTCGATTTCGATAACTCTCTCTTCTAGACACCTTTCCTGGACTTACGTAACATTAAGCACGACTGACTCTCTTGAAAAAAAAACCTACTGTAAGCTCACGATGGGAAGTTCCAGAAGGATGTCATTGCAAAGCCGCCATATCAGGCAAAATTCAGAAAGCCTGAAAATCTTTCTAAATGGAATTTTTAAACCCATTAAAACCCGACTACTAGATAAATTTATAAAGGAAATCGCTGTTGCTGTATTGCTGTCGCAACTTCTGTGCTAGATGTGCCAGTGAAGCGAAAAGCTTGGGTAATGCTAAACAACCTGGTAACAAAATCACAAGTTTTTTCGTAGAACTTGTTGAAACAATATGCTTTCCGCACAGAACTTCCGAAAATTCCGACTGTGATCCTTCACCCAGGAGGGTCGGCGACCCGATTTTTGTTGAACAATCAAGCCAGTCCTACATATGGTATCTAAAGGTCAGCGAAAGCTATTCAGAGAAAAGCTCACCAACTACTAAACACTCGATACTTCTTTTGGGACACTCTGCACACCTATATGGTACATATAAGACGTGAAAAGAAAGAGTAATTATAGCAGAATATAATGTTGAGCATTCGCTGGCGGATCGATACAGATCGCTACAAGTTTCAATCCTTCACCAAATGCTCTAATCCCTTCGAACCTGGATATGACAATTCTTACCGCACCTTCTACGCCTCTAGAGTTGTCAAACACTCCTCGGGTAATCTATGAACAAAAAGTGTCATAAGGATTTCAATCGTAGCTAGAGAAAACCATTTGCCCAGTAAACCATAAAGCGCCTAAACAACGTTAGAAGTTTAGGAAAGCTTGTAAGCAGAGTTCCAGCTTCTTGTTTCCTTAGTGCAATTTTGAAACTTTACAGGGAAATCAAGTGAATTTATTGGCTTGATCAAGCCAATTTTGATAAGATTATCATTGCTGTTAATATTTATAAAACAGGTTACCGTAAACTCATATAAATGTTAGCTGTTCCAAAAGTTTTGTCCGATTTTTAGTTGCCTCGTTTCAACGCAGCTATATTCTTGGAGTTTTGTACTTATTGCAGTATTATGAAAAGCTTCTGGAAGCACTCTATTTGCTTTTTTCAACGCTTATCATTTCTTAATTAAACAACTTCCCATTGATGAAATTTCAAGCTGATGCCAAGCTGTCAAAATGCAGTCATGCTTAATAGAAAGTTTCTGTGACGAAAATTCTCAGACAAATCACGGGAACTTCCCGAAGGGCAAGCCAATTTGCCAAACTTCCCGAGGGTTTCATTTAGCATGTAAGTGAATGTAGCCATAAAAATGGGAACTTCCCGAAAACTTTGACGTCAAAAGCAACACAGTTAGCAACTTCCCGAGGAAGTCCTCGGAAAGTTCTGCAAAGTGCAGAACCTCCCGAGGATTTAAATTTGCGGGAACTTCCGCAAAGCTGTGTTGCAAGTTAGCAAAACAGACCTGCTTTGGTTTTGCAAACAAGGCTACCGGCATCATAATGATAAGCTTAAAGCTTGATAAGGTAAAGCTTAAGGTGCTTCATTTCTGTCTATCACCCTCTGAAGGATAGGTAACTGTTATAATATCGATACCTATCTATAGTATACCCGTCATCCTTGTGTCACCTCAATGCGATGTGTGTTAAGGAACACATATTGAAATTCCGAATAACCCGCTGGGGTCCCACCGTGTCATACTTGCTAAAATTAGACCAAAAACTGCTTGTTTTCCATGATTTCATGCTCTTTCGTTTCGTTATAACTCTACGCACGGTCCAAGAGTTTCGACGATTTGTCGTTTTTGTAGCTCCTGCATGCGCATTGTAGTGCGCATGACTGTTGTATCTATATGGCATTTGTGTGTTAGCTTAACAATTTTAGCGATGTACAAAAAAAGTGGAAGCTCGAAAAGTACGCAGTCGAAACTTACAAAGCAGACGCAGCGAGAAGATCTTTCTAAGCAAGATGACTCAGCAACGGCAATGAATACTCTGACAATTCATTAGCCCCCAAGTAAACTTTTATATATTTAATATCGAAATTTGATCAATCAAGTGTGGGTAGTCTTTGAGAGGAGACTAGATTCCTGAGCACAAACACAGCATGGTTAATCAAAACTCAAATTTGCTGACGGCCGCTTTTAGAGTGCACTATCTGTATTTGGGAGTTTTGAACCAAGCGTACGAAAACTATATCGAAAGACCAAGAAGCGATTTTTCAGAAAATGGACGTGTGTTACTATTTATATTACACTTTTGAGCTTGACAATTTGAAGATTTTTAAGTTAGATAATGTAATTTTGATTCAGCGGGATTGGAACGCGTTTTTGCGGTTTTGGAACCTGTGGATTACAGCGTGATAACGCGCAACTGCAAAACGTTTCAGGTAAAGACGTGTATCTCTCGTAATTATAAGCTTACTAGCTGGCTTACCCGGCTCCGCCGTATCCGGACCAAACTTGGCACACATACACTTCGGGCCCCGGCGGGTGTCACAGTCCACTTTTCGTTATCGATCGATGTCGATTTTACCGATTTTTATCGATTTTTTTGCAGAGTTCACCTACAGGGCTAGGAGTTGGCACAGGGGGGGGGGGAAGTGAGCATGGGGATTCCGAATACAACATTAGTTTTCAGGATCGTCCATTACTTTTATCGATTTTATCGATCTTTTTTGTAAAGTTTGACCTGCGGGGCTGGGAGTTTGCACAGGGGGGTAATCGAGCATGCTGATTACGAACACAATATTAGTTTTCAGGATCGTCCATTACTTTTATCGATTTTATCGATTTTTTTGTAAAGTTCGACCTGCGGGGCCTGGGAGTTTGCACAGGGGGGTAATCGAGCATGCAGATTACGAACACAATATTAGTTTTCAGGATCGTCCATTACTTTTTCGATTTTATCGATTTTTTGAAAATTTGAGCTAGGGGCCGGAATTTGGCACAGGAGTGTAATCGAGCATGCTGATCACCCCCCTTGGGGGTGATCAGCATGCTCGATTACCCCCCTGTGCCAACTCCCAGCCCCCTAGCTCAAACTTTGCAAAAAAATCGATAAAATCGATAAAAGTAATCGACAATCCCGAAAACCAATATTGTATTCGGAATCCCCATGCTCGATTACCCCCCTGTGCGAACTCCCAGCCCCGTAGCTCAAACTTTGCAAAAAAATCGATAAAATCGATAAAAGTAATCGATAATCCTGAAAACCAATATTGTATTCGGAATCCTCATGCTCGATTACCCCCCCTGTGCCAACTCCCAGCCCCGTAGCTCAAACTTTGCAAAAAATCGATAAAATCGATAAAAGTAATCGATAATCCTGAAAACCAATATTGTATTCGGAATCCCCATGCTCGATTACCCCCCTATGCCAACTCCCAGCCCCGTAGGTGAACTCAGCAAAAAAATCGATAAAAATCGATAAAATCGATATCGATCGATAACGAAAAGTAGCCTATGACACGCTCCCTGCCCCGAAGTATATGTGTGCCAAGTTTGGTCCAAATCGGTTCAGAAATAAAAAGTGTGGTAAAAAGTGTGGGTAGCAGTTTTTGGTAATTTTCTGAGAGCTCGTTTGTTAAACTGCAATATAAAGATAACCATTTGAAAGAGCATAAAAAACTGCATCGAACGATTCCAAGATCTTCTAAGGATGTTTGTTCTGCGGACCGTGGCGATTCTTTGAAAAAAGCGAAAATACTTTCGGGACGACCTAATATTTCGGCAAGTTTAATTGTAGACCAAAATTGGACAAGTTTCATTAACTTTGATAAAAATGGCAATCTATGGGAGACCGCAAAACCGGCTGTAATTTCCAAGATGTCCTTCTGCGAGAAATTTTCTCGGCGATCACCTTTTTTGTGATTTCAAGAGTCAACAATGGAGGCCGTTATAGTGGAAACACGGGCTGACACATTGATGGTGAGGAAATCGTCTCGAGAAAAATGATTTTTAGATCTAATGTTGATTTTTGAAGCCAATAATACGGACATTTGACATAGAGAGATTTTAATCCAAAACCTACGTTCATCTATGGGCTTTTCAATGAAGTTCAGCGACAAAAGGCTGCGACGAAAGTGTCGTCCCATAAGAGCTCTAATGATAGATCCCATTTTTGTTCAATAACAATCTCGGACCTGTTGCCGTACCAGGTATACAAGTGATAGTGAAAACTTAATTCTTGTTCAATTCAGAGCGTGGATTCCCAGATTGTTCCAGCGATTCATCTAAACAGTCTTTTGATAAAAATAAATTTTAGAAATTTTTCCGTTCTTTGAATCCTTGTATAACGAGTTTTCCAAATCAACTTTCCGATTTCTAAAACTCATTTTTGGACACAGTAAAGAGGTTTACTGCCTTTTCCACTTGATTTGCTAGCCCATGTATTTTGAACTTAAAGGCTGCAATTCCACTTAAAAAAATTCGCTCATTACCGTAACATTTGTATGCAAGAGGAGCAAATCTTGGCCAAACCACGTAGTCTATAGAACTGAAAATAACCATACAAGCATCCTCTTTCCCAGACCACTTCAGCCTCCTTCGAAAACTGGACGACATAGTTCGCGTAGACATAGACATAGAAACTTAATGCAATTCTCCGAAGTGTTTTGGGTTTTGTCAATGATTAGTTCATTGTATCTTTTCCAGCGACCAATAACCAAAGCAGAGAACTTTTAGGAAATTCGCACTAGTGAAAAAGAAACAAGAAAGGAAGCTGACAGACTTGCACTATCAGAAAATTTTGTAAGGATAGAAAGCGAAGCTTGGAACACTTACCACCATCATTTATTTTCACTCGTCCTCCTTAACCCTTAGCCTGAAAGCTCCTTGTCACAATAAAAAATCATGCACCGCTGTGATTTTAAAGGACAAAAGAAACAAAAAAGTAATCTTGATACTATATCGAGGAACAGATCTCCAAGTACAAAACAAGCGGCTATATGGGGCTGCCGAAATGAAAAAATAAAATAAGTTGAGTTGTGTGCTGTCACTTACAGACTAAATCACAATTTTGCTACTGGACGGGACAAACTTTTGTAAAGAGTTAATATCATCACTCGAATAAAAACAACGTCAAGATGCAGGAAACAAAATTTTCGCTATTGCACAGGTTTTGAGGTTGATATAGATGACACGCTTTCTTCTTCATGAAGTGTTGTGTCAATTTTTGAATCCATCAACAATGTACTCTTTAATCTTGTTACAATTGAAATTCAAAAAAGAGCGCAATAATCGATTCATCTCTGCATACTGACTTTCAACTTGCAATGGCTCACCAGCAAGAGCAAAAAACATGGGAGATCTATAACTTTTGTTTCATTTGTTAAAGTAAGAAGAGATCAGAGGAAACTTTATGAAATCGTTCAAAACTTGCGACTGAAAATGGATCTCGAGTACAAAATGCGTTCTAGGGTAGCTGAAGTAGAGTGTTTGGTCTTTGCGACGTTAAGGTTTTTTTTGCAGGGTTTCAGACAATTCCTGAGAAAACTGAACTTTAAAAGCTTCCGATAGACGCTCCTTTTGGGCCGTGGGGGTAGGCCCCGCCCTACTTGGCAGCTCGAATAGGAGTGTCCCGCCCTCCCCCCCCCCCCCTCCCAAAAATTTCAGGAGTTCAGTTTCTACGGAAGTCATTTGCGATTGCCTGAGGTGGACGATGTAAATTCACAGTGTTCGAATGGTTCACAGCCAAAAGCGCTCAAACTCAAGTCTTCGTTGTTCAACTAGTCTAAAACATAGCTTGACTGTGTCTTTTAGCTGGCTCTTAGGAAGCTAGAAGCAAACAACATTTGTGAATATCCATGCAGGAATACGAGCGATATTGGACAAAGGGAAACTCCCATCCATCGATAAAACATGCGAGCATTCGAAGTTTTGATCACTTCTAAGAAATGGCTATGTGAAAAGATAATTATTTGCAGTTTAGACGCAAGCTTAGCGCAAGTATAAAAGTGCTGATGCAAGCAATTGCGCTAAGTCTGGCGACTAGATAGTGAAATTCCAAGCAATTTTCTTCGCTATCGCAATAGTTTCCTAACATCACATGAACAGTCTAATACTCAAAAAACATTCAGTCATGTTTCATCGAAATCTTTTCGGTTCGCCATGGGTTGCTGTGTTCAACTAGATTTGAAACTAAAGCGAATGCCTTATTTGAAGGGTAGTCTATTTTCTAACGGGCGGCCTAATCTTACTTCTTTGTTTTATTCAGCTTCACACGACTACTAGTGCTCTTCGCAATTCGTAATGACATGCGCTACCTCAAAAATTACAACGTTTTTGGTGATGTTGCAAGATAGATTTAGGGAAGCTTACTTCTTCGGTCCTAGGGGGTGTTTCTGGTATAGCAGGCCCAAATGTATCTTACTAAGACTGTGGTGCAACTGATTGCTTCACTTGTATTGAAACAAATTTTTCAATCTATGAAAGTGCATATGCTACATGATTTTTGCTATAAGCCATAAGTATAAGCCAAAAATTGGTGAGCATTCCAAAGGATGTGTTGAAGGACGTGGCTATTCCTCTCTCAAAGAAACGCTTTCAAACCACTAATGGTATATACGTTTCCATGAGACTAATTTCATAATGAATACTAATTTGTGAAAATGAGCGGCATTCCAATGAACAGTGGGAGTATCGTTGTAAACGGACTAACTGTAACTAGGTGAAGCTTTTTCGCACTTTTACATGCCATACCATGCTATGGACTTTGCTTCTACACCTTGGACAAGGAACCTAAACATGAACTTTTTTTGGTTCGTGCAGGGTTCCAAATATCTGCCAGGACCATAACATACAGCAGGCGGTCATTGAGCCACAGAGGTTCGTACTGTTCAAAGTGCGTCCGTAACCAAAGTTTGCTGATAGCGTTTAAGGGGTTGACTCCAGATATGGAACTCATTTTTCGTATTTCCACATTAGTCATTACAGTGCAACACTTCGAAACTGAGGTTTTTGTAGGAGTTGATCAATCAAGACGAATGGCAACTGAAGAAAAATGGCAGTCTACTTACACCTGCGTCAAATCATTCTGAATGTACTCAATACACTCGAGATTTTATAAGTCAAAAAACTAGGTTGAAGGCTTGTTAGGGACCGAGCACTTTGTAAATGGAAAGAACTTCTTGCGGCTGATAGCACGGGGAACTGCTTAGGTAGTGCTATCTCAGATTACGAACAAAATGAGTAACCTGTGAGAGATGTACAGAGGATAAAAAACATTGTTAAAATGCATTTATCGTTCATAAATAATCACATATCAACCGATGGAAGGAAAATTTGCTTCGGAGTGAACTTTTCCTGGGATGTATACTTCAATGACTGTAAAAATATGTACGTATTTCGAGTTCCCTCTCTACTCTGAACTGCTAACCGAATGAAGTTCTATGCATTTGTTTGAGTTATACTGGCACTGAATTTGGTAGATTGCTGTATAAAATTAGCTCAAAAGTTTTGAGCCGTTTCACTAGCTTATCGTGCTACACTCAAAACTTTTAGGTATGTGTTCAAATTCAAAGTAGTTTTGCATTTACTGTTAATCCACTTTTTCCGGCGAAATTAGTTGCGCAGTTTGCACGCAAAAAATACTTCCAACTTTTTTTGAACCACTAAAGTCCGTTTCGTAGGTAGCCTTTTAAGATATCTTCTCGCTAGCTGATGACATCCTACTAAAGGGTCACTCCGACTCAAAGTCTTTCCTTTGTAAACGCAGCAAGATGTGCAAATGGAATAGAATGATAACTCGGTGTTGACGGATATGAAGGTGAAGATTGCTACCACTTCCTATTGAAATTCGAACAAACGCAGTACCGTTTTTGGAAAATGGATACATATCTTATCATCACAGGCGACAAGAGCGCAGCAGCTATTAATCTGTAAGATCTCGCATGAAAATAAACTTATCGCTTGATTGACGTAGTACGGATTACCGCTATCACTGTAGAAACCATGGGATTCAAGTTGCTCATAGAAAGGGTTTGCCTAGGCGATACTCCATACGTCACATTTATACCATCTTTCCTAGCAGCGATATAGGTTGGCAATGGTACAGCCAATTTTCCAGTCACGCCGTATACAGAAAACCCGCAGGTCTTGCAGAGTCTCTGGGTCTGTCCACTGTAATCTTTGTCGAACAAAGAGTTGTAGGGAATGATACCTTGGAATATTTACCTTTCTCTAACATTCAGTAAGCAGTATTTTCCAATAGCGCTGTCTATCAAACATACTTTATCCCCAAATCTGTACACGCACATCGAAAGGTCAGGCAGCTTGTAAAACTGCAAATCAAAATTGAGCATAGACTTTAAAAAGTTTGAGATTCACCTCAGCTTCTCTTCGCAGTTTTTCCTGGGCATCTCTACTTTCAAAAACCGTAGAAATCTTGCCATCTCTTAGGTATTCCATCACCTAAATTAAATGTTGGCTGATGATCTCCGAAACAACAATAACTCGTGCATTACCATAGGAAAAAACTCCGGACTTCTATCGAAGAAAAGTTCCTCCTGCTCGTGACCACGTTTAGCGAGCATAGCTGGGAACACCTGATGAGAGGAAATATAAAAGAGATAGATTTACAAGAAAGCGAAATTGACTGACACTATCCTTCTCCTTTGTGAGAGTGGAATGGAGGGTTTCAAAAACAGTTCCGCCAACGTTAATCTTTACGCGAGATGGTCTTTGGAATGAACTGTCCAGTTTTTCCTGCAAGCTGAATGTAAGGGATACGAGTAAGAAAATTCTACTCTTTGGAAAAACCAGAAAGTCAAAGTGATCATTGCATGCTTGAGTAACTTCGACTTTGAAGTAAGTCTCTGCACAATAATGCTTTTCTGAGGGTCACAATTGTGTAAGGTTCATAGTCAGTTTACAAGCTTTACATCCTGAGCAAGTTCGCTAAGCAAGATGAGCTATTTTTGCTGATCAGCTTAGACAATTACGGTAAGTTCACATAAGCAACATCACTTTGAGACGTGCGCAAAAAGCATTCTTTGCAATAAAAATTCTTGTGCACAAATAAAGCGATACGTGATTCTTCAAGCACCGTATGACTCTACAAAATGCCCTATCATACGAGGTATGACCGGGATTGATTCAAATTTCTGTCAATGAATAGTTCATCTTGTCTCTGCCAGCGAACAGCAACCAAAGCAGAGAACAACCGTGGATTTGCAATAGTTTGAGGAAGACAAAGAAGAAAACAGATAAACTTACATTATCATCAAATCTTGTGTGGGTGGAAAGTGAAGCTGCAAAAACGCTACCACCAACATTTACTTTGACACGCTCTCCAAGAGGCTGACCTCCAGCCTAAAAGCTCATGGTCAGAACAATTTCTTACACTGCTTGATTTTATGAGGCCAGTGATAAGGAACTGTTCAATTCTCCAATAGTTCGAGGTTTTGAATCTTCATTGTAGGCAAGTACAAGCAGGACAATTGACAAGGCGAGACCGTCAGAATGAAAGCTTAGAAAATTTGAATTGTTTTGATTTTCACTGAACAGACCGAGTAACAATTTTGCGAAAAGCCAATATCATCACTCAGAAAAGAAAGGGTATCAACGTGCAATAAAATCTTTTCGCATAATGCACAGGCGTGTATTATAGATGTCTATAAACGACATAATTTCCCTTTTTGATATGATGTAGAAAATTTCCAATACTTCATAAACAAAGTATTCCTTGACTTTTTTTCATTTGATTACTCTAAACCCTGTGTCTCAATCCTCATGCTTTGTCTCCTCTTCATTGGCTTTCAGTCTGGATTGACTCACTCGCAAGCAAAGAAATGGGATTCTATGATTTCTGTCATAGTCTGAAGGAGGCAGAAAATTCAGAGGAGTGTTAAAACCAGCTGAAATTTGTATGGAAAACTAAAATTTCAAAAGCAAATTGCCTAAGGTGAGCTGAAGTGTTCATAGTTTTGGTAGTTGCTTTAGACGTAAGACGTTTTTGCAGGATAAACAGTGGCTAGCTTACATTGTTTGAATGATCGTCACAGGATCGTGCGTCAGAACTCATGCTCGTTTCTTCTGTAATTTCTGTAGTTGCTCGTTTCTTCTGTAATTGATGACTATATACCTAAACTGAATTCGCTTGGAAAACCGAAGCAAGCAATATTTAAGTATTACACGCACGAGAGAGAAATTGTAAATTGACATTACAAAAAACAGTTTCTGCCTTCGCATAAGCGAAAATTGAATGACTGATCACTTCTGAAAGGATGGCTATGTGTTTGAAGCACTTCGCAGCATCTAGGCGTTGATTTAGCGCAAACGGAAAATTGCTGATGCGAGCACTGGGGTTACGTCTAGAGATTAAATTAGTGAACCATGGTCGCTTTCTTCTGCTATATATCAGTATTCTACTTATTGTGATGCTGCGAAATACAGAGTAAGTGTAGTCTGATCTTTCTCACCCATTGTTGCATGAACTGGTGAACCGCTTCAAAGCGTTGTGTTCATTTTTGAGGGTATTCATACCGAGTAAAACTCAACACACTTTCGTGTGAGCAAAAACGTCATGGTATAGTAAGTTTCAACTCAGTTTAGGCGGAAATTGGACTGGCGGGAGTCCGCTTCGCAACGATTCGCGCCGCTTTGCACTCTGCATCTCTTCATTTTAATCTATCTCGCTGAGCCAGTGGCGGTGCGGACGCGCTGCTCCACTTGGAATGTATTTGCCTACTCCGGGTTGAAAAAGACTGTATGCACACGGAAAAGTACTCGGATACGATTAATATTAAGGATATTGTTATAAATACTATGAAAAGATTGTGAGTCTGGTTGAAATTCTAGTTGTAGCATTAACGTTAACGGCATTTGATAGCTTACTAAGTTTTGACCTAAGCCTCATACACGAGCCGCGCTTTACAAGGATGCAACCTACGATGCCCCAGAGTGAGCGGCCCCATAACTCTCATAATCTCATTCGGATTCATGTATGTCTGTGTGACGTATTTTCCGATAATCCTATTTCTGAGCCAATCCGGACCAAACTTGGCACACATACATATCGGGAAAGGGGGTGGGGGGGGGGAGTGTCGTAGGGTGCTTTTCGTCATTCATCGTCGATTTTATCGATTTTTTGCAAGGATCTACGTACGGGGCTGGGGGTTGGCACAGGGGGTAAATGAGCACGTTGATTACGAGAATATTATCAACAGGGCCGGGCGGAGCCTGGTTTGCCAATCAGTTTCTAGTAGCCCAAATTCGTCCTAGAGTATACATTCGTTGCAGCTTTTCACCAGATTCTTATTGAGTTATTTTTCAACCCCATCTTTAACAAGAGGGCGCAGGTTACATCTGCTCGTTAGATGAAGTCAGTGGAGTCGCGGCGAAAACCCCTGGAACATATCCACACAGGCAAACATTTTTGGAAATGGCATTGATGTGTACATTGAGTAGAAAATCTGCGCTGTTAGTATTATCGCTTGACTGACCGATCAACAGATAAGAACTCTTTCGGATTATTAAAACTGCGTAAGTCATTCCAACATTCAATAGCAGCACCAGCGATAACAGTCTTATCAGCAGCAACGGCAGCAATACCAATATGCGTCATGTACATATAGCCAAACCCTTATTTGTATGTCATGTTCTTGTGGAGTAACATCATTAATCACTTCAAACGTAGCGAGTAAGATAAGCATCAAACGCGAGAAGAACAATAAGTAAATTTGACATTTTTCAATGCAAATGAGTCTGAATTTATTTTTCTTGCTGCTATACATAGTGCCAGAGATTCTAGCAAATTGGCGCCGTTGAAAAAAAGGCTGTAAGAATTGTCCGAACAAATTCACATTTTCTTGCTTTTATCGAGCGTAGCTGAGTACTTCTGAACAAGTGGCAACTTAACCAAATTTTCAAATGATGAACTTTGTATTCTTACAATGTTTTGAATCCTTGCATTGCTGGCGCTTTTTTTTGAAGAAGTTATGCAGTCCACGAACGTTTCATAATGGACACCTAACCCGTTTTATTGAACCGATTCGTAGATTTGGCTTATTCTTACCATGGTAGACTGGTGCTTAGGAATCGCTGCTGTCTGAAAAACTCGAAGATTACAGCTGTCCATTGTGGTCAGGTTAAAAATGACATGTAAGCAAAATGTTTTGTTATCGTGACTTCAGTATTTGAATGATACTGATAAAAAGCCAGTCAGGGATCCAGCTTATGTGTAGACATGTTTTCTCTCTTAGCTATCTAATATTTTATTTTGTTTTTTTTTCACAGGCTCTAAATCTAAAGATGGATTCCGCATGTTAACATGAACTGTTAATTTTTAAAGGTTGCTGACCATAGTGTTAATCAATTAACACTTTTGCTTCTCTCACCTCTCTCCCCCCCCCCCCCCCCTTCCCGCCCTTCTCAGAGCCGATAAGCGGGTTTTTTCGTGAGCACTATAGCGAGAATTGTACCTAATGAAGTTAAGGATATTGCTCAAAAGCTGTGGGAATATAAGGAATACCACCAAACTTTTGCAGTTTACTTGTTATTTGACACTTCTGGAAAAACACGGTGTACGCTTAGCCTACAAACCCAAAAGATCTGAGGAAGACAGAGCTAGTCGATGCAATCAAAGAGAAAAGTTAAGCGATTGTATAAAAGAAACCAAGTGTACCAACTTGTCGAAAAAAGTTTGGAGTATCTAACAAATAACCTAAAACTTTTCTGGCTTGTTCCTTGAATTACAGCACTTGGCTCGAATTTGAGTGAAGCAGATTATAGCCAGGGCTCGGCACGAGGTGGCTAGATGAAAATGGAAAAAACGAAGTCCCCCTTGACTTTTGGGAATTTTTACGAAGTCCCCTTTGACCCTGAACCAGATTTCTTCTAAAAACCTGAAAAATTCCCGAAAATCCCCCAAAAAACGAAACGTCGACTAAAAAAAAAAGGTCGCCGTCGTCAATTTTCCGGATGTCTTCGCTCACAAAAACGAAACCCCCTTTGCTTTTCGTCCCAAAAACGATATCCAGCTTGCTTGTAAGCCACCTGTGCCGAGCCCTGATTATAGCAGAACTGTAGTTCATTTTCTTACAAAGTCCCAATTTTTTCTCCTTGTTCAAGCTTATCTCCGGCTTTGTAAGGCCATTTGAGATCTCCTCACCTTATTGTAGTATACTAGGGAGCTTCCTAAGCTAACCCGTGTGATAAATCAGTAGTTTTTTTTGATTTTGGGACCGACCCACAAAATCCGAAAATTTAAAATTTGCATATCGATTCGATTTTTTTGTAATCTTCTCTGCTTGCTTGTTTCCTGACATTTCAGTAACTGTTGGATGCAATTTTCTTTCCTCTTTCTGATTATCAAGCTTTCTTTCCATAGTGTAAAGTTCGCGGACAGATTCGCTTTTCTAGGAGTGCGCAGTGTTGTACTTTGAATTTAGAAATTTTCGTGTTTATTCATGGAGTTATTTCGCAAAGTTGGTGATAGCGATGATAGAGTTTTGGAACTTCAGTATTTAAGATTCCGCAGTGCGGTGCAAATAAATGTTATGCGATTTTTTCACAGATTTTGAGCAAAAATCACTTGTGCTATTCAAGAGGTTTTGCTCTATTTTCTGGCTACTGAAACCCTTCAAAAATTTTAAAAAAAGAAAAATTCAAAAATTAAGCGTAATCGTTTTTGGGACAAAAAGCAAAGGAAGTTTCGTTTTTGTGACCGAAGAGAGACGCAAAATTGGCGATTTGGCGACGTTTCGTTTTTTGGGGGATTTTGGGGAAATTTGGTTGAGGATCAAAGGGGACTTCGTAAAAATTCCCAAAAGTCAAGGGGGACTTCGTTTTTTCCATTTTCATCTAGCCACCTCGTGCCGAGCCCTGACTCCAACGACTCCTCAGCAATAGTCTATCAACTATCGACGCGAACATATTCACGACAAAGGACAAATATTGCTCAGATACTGTTCAAAGTGGTTGTTTACGTCCACTCTACGGGATCTGCGGGTAGATGCAAAAAATGGAAATTGTCTCAGCGCTCGTCTAGAGTTGCTTTGATAACACCAGGAAAGAGGAAGAAATTTGCCGTTGACTACTGTTTAGCTTTTGTTTGTCTCTTCTCTACGGGATCCAAAAATGAATGAAATTTTTGCACAGATCATACCTTGCAAGCACTATCTGAATCTCGCTGTGTTCTCGGATTCTCAGCACTGCGCACTGATTAGAAATGAAAGGAAAACTGATCCAGCAGTGGCGTATTAGCGAGAGGTAAAAGGTCATTGTAAAACGCATGAGCGATAAAGTTGAGAAACTGATTTTTTCAAAGTTTTTTTTTGTGTTAAAACAATCTTCTGAAATGCTTACATATTTTATGCTCTATGAATATTTTTCCGAAGGAGTGGATGGATTTTTTCAACTTTTAGAATAAAAGACACAGATCTGAGGAGCATTATAGAAGAATTTTTTGAGAGGCGAGTTTACTCTCCTTTCCCCCCCCCCCCCCCCATTCCAAAAAATATGTCCACAGCCACTGGTATATGGAGTCGACCTATGATCTATTGACGACTTGAGTCATAATGTAGGCTATCTTTTGAAATGAGCAGCATTACATAAACACTGACCTAATCCCGTAAGTAAGCTTATGCATGATAAAGCTGAATCTCTATTCCATACTCCGATGATTGTTACTATACCACACGATGAACTTACGACTGGAAAATCGTAGACATGGTATATGTATATACTCGTTCAGTCTGTCCAAGGCTTCCACTTTCTGCCATTTCGAACCAGAACAAAGCGGATGAAGAAAACCTAACCCATCAGTGGTTGGTACAGAGCGAAATGAGTCTTCAGATTTGAAAAAGCGGAGTTAAAGTTCAGAATGGAAATCATTGAAGGAGCTGGCCAAAAGAAGAATTTAGCGGCCGCAAATCACCCTTATTCCTGCATCTAATTATTTTGAAAATCTAATCAAATTGCTCTGATTTTCGTGCCATGATTCTAGGTTGAAAGCTTTATAGAGACAGATCATTCGATACTCAAAAAAATTTCTTTGATCTGATAGCGCGGAGAACTGCTTATGCAGTGCAATTGCATCAACAAGATAATTACTATTGGATCTTCCACAATTGTCCTCCACAATATGATCGATCCTCCCAAACTCTGAGAGATACAGAACGCAAAAAACTGCTCAAAAGCAATAAAGTCATAAAGTAGTTGCTTATTACTAAGGCGAAACATCTTTCTTGGAACGAACTTTCCATGCTGTGTCAAAATGTAGATCCCAAAGTCGACTCTCTGTTTGACCGCTATTCTATTATAAGCTTTTATTTGCGCTCACTTGGTAACAAATTTTCTGCCTATCCCGAAAAAATTTTATGCCATAAGCATAAGAGCGAAATTGGGAAGAATTCCAAGAGATGTGTGGAAGGAAGTGGCAATTTCTCTCTCAAAAAAAAACTTTCTAAAACCACTACTGGTACAGACGGTTCCATGAGATTAGTTTTCATAATGAATACTAATTTGCGAAAATGAGCAGCATTACAGTGAGCAGCGGGCGTATGTGTAAATAGATTTCTCGTATGCACGGTACAGATAAAACCAATTTTCTTTTTCGACATACCGTACCTGCGATGGAATTTGCTTCTTACACTGTGGACAAGAAAGTTGAACACGAACCTTTTGGTCCATCCAGAGCTTCAAATTTCTGCCATTCCGAACCAGAACATACAGCAGATCAAAATTTATTCCATCAGTGGTTTGTACAATTCGAGGCAGAGGATCTGCTGGAAGCAATTGCGTTGACTCCAAATATGGAACTCTTTTTTCGTATTTCCACAGTAGCATTACGGTGCAATACTTCAAAATTAAGGTTCTTGTAGGAGTTGATCATTCAAGACGAATGCCAATTGAAGAAAAATTTACCCTTGCGTACCCTGCGTCAAATCAATCTGAATGTACTCAATACACTCGGGATTTTATAGATCAAAGAATCAGGTTGAGGGCGTGTTAGGGACCGAGCACATTTCAAATCCGGAAAGAACTTCTTGCGGCTGATAGCGCGGAGAACTGCTTGAACAGTGATCGCTTCAGATTGCGATCAAGATGAGCAATTTGTGAGATATGTACAGAGCATAAAAAACATTGTTAAAATGCGTTTATCGTTAATAAATAATCACATATCAACCGATGAAAGGATAATTTGCTTCGGAGAGAACTTTCCTTAGGATGTATACTGCAATGAATCTAAAGTACGTGTTCCAAATTTCCTCTCTACTCTGAACTGCTACCAAATGAAGTTGTAGGCATTTGTTTGTGCTAAACTGGCACTGGATTTGGTATTGTAGATTGCTGTAAGATAGAATTAGCCCGATAGTTTTGAGCCGCTTTACTAGCTTATCGTATTACATTCAAAACTTTTAGGTATGTGTCCAATTTCAGTTTTGCATTTACTGTGAATTCACTTTTTCCGACAAGATTAGTTGCGCAACCTGCACGCAAAAAATGCTTCCAACTTTTTGAACCACCAAAGGCCGTTTCATAAGTAGCCTTTCAAGATATCTTCTTGCTGGCTGATAACATCCTACTAAAAGGTCACTCCAACTCAAAGTCTCTCCTTTGTAAGCGCAGCAACATGTGCAAAATTTAGAATAGAATGATAAACTGGTGTTGACGGATTTGAAGTTGAAGAATGCTACAACAGAAAACTATCGAATTTCGGACAGACGCAGTATTGTTTTTGGAAGATGGATATATTTCTGATAATCCTTCCAGGAAATACTAGCGCAGCAGCTGTCAATCTGTAAGAACAGCGTTAAGATAAATTTTTCGTCTGATTGACGCAGTAAAGATTACCGACATCACAATAGATCCATCCGTGGATCTTATGTCATTCATAGAAAAGGTTTGTCCAAGCGGTACTCCATACGTCACATTCACACCATCTTTCTCAGTAGCGATGTAGGTTGGAACTGATTGACTCCCAAGTTTTTCGCGGTATACGGAAAACCCGCAGATCTTGCAGATCTGTTCTCTCTTATGAGAATGGCAACTAAAGAAAAGGCCATCAGTCATGATCAAAAGAGAATAAATGATCTTCAGACTTTGTCGAATAAAGAGTTGTGGGACCAAGCATGGGATCGATATCTCTGAATCATATTTACCTTGGCCTAACCTCCAGTAAGCAGTATTTTTCAAAAGCGCTTTCTATCAACTGTACTCTATCGCCGCGTTTGTACCCGCACATCGAAAGGTCGGGCAGATTGTAAAACTGCAATTCAAAATTAAGCATCTACTCCACAAAGTTTGAGATTCACCTCAGCTTCTCTCCGCAGTTTTTGCTGGGTATCTCTACATTCAAAGACCGTGGATATCTTGCCATCTCTTAGGTATTCCATCACCTCAATTGGATGTTGGATGATGATCCCCGAAACAACAACAATTCGTGAATCACCATAGAAAAAAGCTCCGGATTCCTATCGAAGAAAAGTTCCTCTTGCCCTTGACCGTATTTAGCGAGCATAGCTGGGAATACCTGATAAGAAGAAATTCAAAAGAGAAAGATTTACAAGAAAGCGAAAGTATCTCACACTATCCTTCTCTTTTGTTAGAGTGGAAAGGAGGGTTTCAAACACAGTTCCGCCGACGTTAATCTTTACGCGGGATGGTCTTTGGGATGGATTGTCGAGTTTTTCCTGGAAGCTTAATGATTATGCGATACAAGTAGAAACTTTTACTTTTTGGAAACCAAAAAGTCAAATTGATTATTGCATGCTTGAGTAAATTCGACATTGAAGTAAGTCTCTGCACAATAATGCTTTTCTGAGGGTCACAACTGTTTAAGATTAATAGTCAGGATACAAGCTCTATATCATGAGCAAGTCTGCTCAGCAGTCAGAACTATTGCTGATGAGTGCTAGACGGTTACGGTAAATTCAAATGAGTAACATCACTGCGGGCGCAATTAAGTTGCTTAGTAGCCAGCACAAATGCCGTCTGTTCTCATTCAAATCAAGCCAGAAATATCGTGATGCTTTTTATTCACCTCTATGGTTTGGCTCACGCCTGAAGGTAGGTCATGATGGAGGTGTCTGTCCCTTCCCATACAATCTCTGTGACAATGTTTTCGAAATGAATCCTATACCACTTTGAAGAGCATTGCAGCTGATTCCAACGCTTTCTGATTTCTACCACATACTCTGCATGCCGAGTTATGATTTTTTCTGGTAATCGCAAGGCATAATCTGGATAAAATCAAATGTTGCCTTTTTGACAGCGCTCGTGTAGAGCATTATCAGGTGTGAGTATTTTGAATAGAGGGTATTCTTTTAATGAGGTGCTCTGGTAATCAATACTGGATCATTTGAGCAACTCTCAGAAATTTTGTACGCGTTCAATTTTTCAACCCCAAAACGGTCATAACTCAGCGTTGGCCCATGGCAGATAACGATCGAGCTCTTCACAGTCATATTAGTTTTATAAGAAAAATACACTTCAACCAAACAAACCTCCCTTGCTAGCACCTTCTTGTCCGTATCACCTGTATCACCTTATACCCGTTGGTCTTCGCCTTGCACGAGCGAGTAATAGCGATTCATTAAGGAAAGCCGAAGATTGCGGGCAATTGTTGCCAGTGTTGCTCTGGTGTCCTAGCTGCCAAGGTTGCTGGGTCCTGAGGAGCCAGCTGAGAGAGCAAAAACACACAGAGACTACAAGTTCTACAACGGCGGCAAACTTGGCAACCTCAGCAACCCTAGTGAGAATTACCGGCAACCTCTGGCTGGCTCCTTAAAGGCACCGTCCACCCTAAGTTGAGGGTGTTGAGCGTTTAGCATCATATAATAGTAGCGACCCCTATCAAGCTAATGCCCAAGTCGCGGCCTAAAATGCCGCTTCGAAAGCGAGAAAATCGCTCCAGAATAGCAAAGATGCACGTGGACCCCCACCCATGCCCGCCCCTCCCCATCAATGCCGCCCACCCGTGCGCGTCCAGCCAATCAACGTTCCGAAAGCTGGCCTGAGGGTTCTCCGAAACGGGAATTATTGGGGTTTTCGCGGATTCTCGACTTCACATTCGGAGTTAGGGCCATGAGAAGGGCCCGGAGCAATCAAAACATGAAAGTCGAGAATCTGGGTCGACGGTGCCTTTAAGCTTTGTCAAAATATCTGGCTATGACGTCGGCGGTCTTCCTCATTCGCGTCTGAAATTATATGGTAACCAATCTGTCCCCCTCTTCTAGTGGGTTGTCGTCACGCCGCATTGCTTATCCAGTCCACCTTATCTTGCTCTCTCTGGTGTATCCAACAGTCCCTGCTCCTTTAAAACGCTGACGTAGAGTAAAGCTCCTCTTATTTAAGTAAGTCGTTTCACTCTTTTACTATCAGCGCTTCAATGACTCTAACTGCGTGCTCTTAATGAACTCGTTGTGATTCTGAAGCGCCAAAGAATTGAAAAGGGCAAAGGCAGATATTCTATGTTTTCCTCTCGATTTCCGCAAGGTTATATATGCTCCACATGTAGCGCATTTCCTTCGGCGTAATTGCAGTTAGACTGTTCATCTGATCTCGCGACCCACGTTCGAAGGGGGGAGGGAGATTCAGTGCGTGTGTTAGTCACGCACTTCAAAAATTTTTTGATTCCTCCCAGAATTTGCGCGGGCCCATAACCCCGAAGTTTTGGATTACCTACTTGCTTAGATACTTACAAGGGAAGTCACTTAATTAAGGTCGGCCTTTTGAAATGAGACACATATATTTAGAATCAGCGTTGATTCCAAATATGCTGTCTATAGCTGCGAAGCGTTCCTCTGAAGCGAGTTATGAGCTTTTTCCTAAGCAAAGTTTGCCTGTCAACCGACTTAGGCATGCTACGGTATTGTCATCCAGGTAATATTTCAAATGCATACAACACCCTATCAAAGCCAAATGACTCAGTCTGATGTTATTTCGATTTCCCAACACTTTTTTAGGCAGATTTTCATCTGAAGGCCTTCTTTCCATATTCAGTTATATGTCGATTACACATGTTAAAAAGAACATAACTCGCTTCAGAGGAACGCTTCGCAGCTAAGGACACATATTTGGAATCAGCGTTCCGAGTTGATTCTAAATATATGTGTCCCATTTCAAAAGGTCGACTCAAGTTAAGTGACTTCCCTTGTTAGATGGCCCGGCTCACGTGACGTGCGGGTCCCCTGTCCCTAGCTTCAAACATCCACGATCTTCTTGGCTGATGTCGGTGGCTGAGTCCACGAGTTCCAGGTGCAAAAATCGTATCCAGCTGATTTCTCAGCTGGTCCTTGGCTGATGTCGGTGGCTGAGTCCACGAGTTCCAGGTGCAAAAATCGTATCCAGCTGATTTCTCAGCTGGTCCATTTCACGGACACGTCTGCCCATCTCGTTAGAGGTCTTCCTTTAGGACGTTTTGCTTCGCGAGGAATCCACGCCGATGTTCTTAGTGTCACCTGTCGTCTGTTTTTCTCATAAAGTGACCGGCCCATTGATGCTTCGCTTTCGCAGCCTAGTCCGCTGGCTCACGAAGATGGGACATTCATCTTGAATCCGTACTACAAAGTCCGACAAGATGTTCTTTGTGTCGGTTCATCTTCAGAATATTACGCTTTAACGCTCTGCTGGTCCTTAAAGGCAGTGTCTCACCAAAATTTAGTTGCCGAAATTTTTGCATTTTGCAAGCCTGTCGGACCCTGTCTAGCACTGTATGGGCTCAAAATCGCACGAAGTTCCCAAAAACCCCGTTTTCTGGAGGCCCCGCGGAAGCAACGTGGACGAGTTGTACCTTCCAACTTCAGCCTCAGCCAAGTGGCAGCAACAGAGGGGAGGTGGATGCCAAGTGGAGGGACATGTTCAAACGCGTAAGGGGGGAGACCGAAGGAGTCGTCCGCGCGTACCAACTGGCTCTCCGCGTACCACTTTGAGCGAATTTTTCTCAACGTAGAGGGGGTCAAATTGGGTGGGACTTGTTGCAATGGCCTATCTAGAGGTCCCTATAATAGAATATGTAAAGATTCCCGCGACCTCAACTTTGGTGAGACACTGCCTTTAAAGCCTTTGACGTGGCTACAGTGTCGGCCCAAGACTCAGCTGCGTAGCAGAGCGCCGGGAGAACGGTTGAGTCAAACAGGTGGGCACGAAGCTCCGGGTCCGTCAGTTGGTTGGTGGCTTAATTCAGAGGACCGAAGGCGGCCCAGGCTGCTCTTCTTCTCCTGTTAAGTTCTTCCCTCAAGTCGTTCTCCAGGTTCCGAACGTCCCAGATACACGTAAGAAGACGTCTCCATAATAGGGGTGCCTTCCAATTCCATTTCTGCATCTTCGCAAAGGGCGTTCCTCATGAACTGAGTCTTCTTCCGATTTATTCGCAGTCCGATCTTCTTCCCTACTTTGTTCAGTTCCTTCAGCATCGTCTCTGCTTCGGTGATACTGCTCGAGAAGAGAACGATGTCGTCCGCGAAACGAAGGTTGGACAGGAATCTCCCATCAACTCGTATGCCTCTCTCGTCCCAGTCCAGTGACTTCATTACGCAGTGCAAGGCCGCAGTGAACAGCTTCGGAGAAATTGTAACGCCTTGACGGGCCCCCTTCCTAATTGAAATGATCAAGGGGCGATGGAACAGCTGCATCTTCGTTGTACAGTCCTTGTAACAGTCGACTAACGTCCTCACATAGGCGGGTCCACTTGTTGATCGACTAACGCTGACAGGATGGCGTTGGTTTCGACGCTGTCAAAGGCTTTCTCGTAGTCGACGAAGGATAGGAAGAGAGGCAGTCGGTATTCCCGGCAAACTTCTATGACCCTCGAAACCGTCTGGATGTGGTCCATGCAGCTGAATCCTTTGCGAAATCCAGCTTGTTCTTGGGGTTAGGCTTCATCCAGTGTCCTAGATATGCGAGCGAGGATAATCTCCGTGAAAAGCTTGTACATCACATTCAGCTGGCATGTTGGACGGTAGTTCCGAATATCCTCCCGTTTACCTTTCTTGAAAAGAAAGGCGGTTCTTAACGTTCTCCACTGGTCGCAAATTCTTTTCTTCTGAAGGTAAGACGTTAAGTGCGACGCGAGAATCTCGTGTAGACGTTGCCCTCCGGCTCGCAGAAAGTCGACGGAAAGATCTGGTCCTGGAGCCGTGGACGTGTTCGTGGTCTGGATCGCCGTGCGCATTTCAGCAGGTAGAATTCGTGGTGATACCTCTCCAGCAGGAACAACGGGCATCGGCACGGGTATTGATGAGCGAAAGAGGTTGGTGTACAAGTTCTTCGCGATAGATTCCATCTTGTATCGAGAAGAAGTCGGAGTCCCGTTTTCGTTCAATAGTGCAGCCAGCGGTACGTGATATTCACAGAGGTCCTTTGGCACTTCTTAAGACTTCGCCTTCCTCCTGCTGCTTCCAGTATCTTGGCTTGCCTGTACTTCCTGAGATCCTCCTGCAGAGCTGTTCTGCAACTAGCGCCGGTTATCAGTCGCTCGAGATGGGTTGCATTCGGATTCTGCCTCAGAAATCTTCTTCTTTTGAGCAATTCCTTGTAGTTTTCGAAATGCGTTCCAATTTCTTTTCAGAAGTCGCTGAGGCGCACTCTCCTCACGCTTGCAATATTTTCAAAAGCCGGTCGTAGTCTACGTTGGTCCTCTTCGATCGACCAGTCACAAGTTGAAAGCTCATTCAGCCTGTTACCGTCTATA